AGTGGAAGAAGCTGGAGACTGTTACAGATGTGCGCAGCTTCTTGGGTATGGTCAGCTTCTATCGATGCTACATACGCCGATTTGCAGAGATAGCTGGACCATTGCACGACTTGACCAGGAAGAACATTGTTTGGCATTGGGGACCCAGACAGGAGGAGGCATTTGAAGATTTGAAGAGAGCATTGACTACTGCTCCAGTTTTGATTCTTCCTGATCCCAGTCTTCCTTACTTGGTGGTGACCGACGGGAGCGATGTGGCGATTGGAGCTGTGATTATGCAGGACCAGGGCAAAGGCAACCAGCCTATAGCCTTTCTTTCACGCAGATTGCGTCCTGCAGAGACCAGGTACTCTCCATACGACAAAGAGATGCTGGGGATTTCATACGCCCTCAGACAATGGAGACACTACCTGGAAGGATGTGTTGGAGGTGTTACTGTGATGACAGATCAGCAGCCAGCTACTACCTTCATGGAGCAGAAGACTATGTCTCGCACTCAGGCGCGCTGGCTGAAGAGTGGATACTTCGAGAGCATCATGCCAGTGATGAAGTATATACCAGGCAAAGCCAATGTTGTGGCAGATGCTGTGGTAATGTGGTAGCAACCCGTTGGTTTCTTGTTCTGCCGAGCGGAGCTCGGCCCGTTGCCAAAGTCGTGGAGGCCATATGTGGAGCGAAGCAGAGCAGGCCGGAACGACTTCGGCATAAGGGCCGAGCGTAGCGAGGCCTTTAGCCGGAAAACGGGTTCGGCCAAAATGGACATGCTTAATGAATATGATGACTTTCATATTTTTGGCCGCCACATGTAAGAGCGCCAGGCGGCGGCGCCAATTGTAGTTCGATCGTTCTGGAACACGTTGCCTCCCTGCCTCCTCGAGCGCAGCCGCCGCGCGCCTCGGACGGGACTGCACAGAGCGGCCGTCACCCACGGGCCAGAGAGAGCCCGGGACACGCCGTCCGGCCGAGGACGACCACGCTTCCACTGGAGAGGCCCTAGAGCGCGGGCCAGGGTACCTGGACACGGCCAAGGGGGGACCGCGCCGACAGATGCACTCTCCCGCAGTTTCACAGTTCAGACTCATCCTGATTCAGTTGCCAGAGTTCAGTCTGCAGTAGTACCTTGTGTTGAAGATTCAGAGCGAGAGGCATGGTTACATTCACTGAACACAGATGCAGGTACTCGTGATGTGTTGGTGAAGCTCAACATGGGACAGGTTGTGAGGGGTTACTCAGTAGATCAGCATGGGATTTTATACTACCAGGCAGTAGGGAACGAGCGCAGGATTGTGGTTCCCACCAGTCAGCAGCAGCATATTCTTGAGGAGCACCATGATGTACCTACAGCCGGACACTTGGGTGTTGAGAGGACTGTGGAGATGTTGCAGCGAGTTTACTGGTGGAAAGGGATTCGTCAGTCAGTGAGGGACTACATCAGAACCTACCCGAAGTGCCAGATGTTCAAGTCAGAGAATCAAGCACCAAAAGGACTTCGGCAAGCGATTCCAGTTCCAACAGCTAAGTGGGAACAGATTACCACTGATCTTGTAACGGATTTACCTGAATCACATGGACATACAGCTGTTGCAGTATTTGTGGATCGACTCACCAAGTTTGTCATCTTTGTTCCTTGCCGGAAAGAGTTGAATGCAGTGGGGTACGCGAGGCTGTTTTTCGATAATGTCTTCAAGATTTCTGGTCTACCTTGTGCTATCATCAGTGATAGGGACCCCAGGTTTTTGAGTAAGTTCTGGCAGGAGCTTTTCAGACTTCTTGGCACCAAATTGCGCATGTCCACCGCGTACCATCCGGAGACAGATGGTCAGTCCGAGGTCTCCATACGCACGCTGGAGAATTTCTTGAGGCCATACGTTGAAGAGCATCTAGAGGAGTGGAGCACATACCTTCCTTTGGCAGAATTCGCAGTGAGGAATGCTATCAACGTAGCGACCGGATACAACCCGTTTTATTTGATGTATGGGCAGCATGTACAGGCTCCAGTGGGACTCATGGCTGAGAAGACAGTTGACACCAGGGTAGAGTCAGTGGATGTTATGGTCAGCAGGATGCAGAAGGTGGTGTCCAATGCTGTGAAGCATTATGAGCGGGCACAGGAGAGGATGGTTACAACTACCAACAAGCGTTGTCGTGATGTGCAGTTTCAGCCTGGAGATGAAGTTGTGGTGAGAACAACATTTTTGCCCTCCACAGCTTTCAGGCATATTCCAGTGAAGATTAGGCATCGCTACATTGGACCTTTTCAGGTGGTGAAGGCAGTTTCCCCAGTTGCATACACTCTCCAGTTACCATCCAGCTAGCGCATTCATCCGACCTTCCACGTCGAGAAGCTGAAGAAGTATGAGCGTAGTGAGACGTTTCAGCACACCGTCAGTTCGCCTCCGGAGTCACTAGAGGTAGAGGGCGAGCATGAGTTTGAGGTTGAGGCAATCATCAGACATCGTGGCAGCGCTTCCAGAAGACAGTACTTGGTAGCTTGGAAAGGCTATGAGCTTCATGAAGCAACCTGGGAGCCAGAGGCCAACCTCACGCATTGTTCGGACCTCGTTGCAGAATACCTCCTCAGGCTACAACGACAAGAGGCAATCAAGAAGACCAGACAAAGTCGCCGAAAGAAGTGATGGACTGCGTGGACATATGGATAGCAGGGGTTCATTGTGAGTTGGATCGTGGTATGGGACACGGCTAGTCTGACTTATTGTGGATTTCTGTTGGGTACGCCGTATCTTCTTTCTTGCTGGTTTTCTGGGTCGTTGGTCTCATGGCCGAGGACGGCCACACTTGGTGGGGGGGGGAGAATTGATACGGTTGCTTTTGTAGATGAATTAGATGTATTTGATTACCCTAAATGGGTCTGAGTTGGGTAAACTAGCCCTGTGGTGGTTACAAAGGATATGGGACAATGAATGGAACAATTAAAGACAATCTTGTATAATGTACAAATGTAGTAACCGCCCGGGGATTCCGACTCCCCGTTTCATCCGACCTGTGTGCCCGCGGGAGCAACGAAGCTCCTGCATCACCTCGGATAAGGCACTATGGTGGGTGGTCAGCGAGGTGGGGCGCGCCGCGGAGGGGTCGCGCCCTGAGTGGGCAAGGATCAGTCATGGTTGCGAGAAGTGGAAAATGGAATTACAGATGGGCGCACATGCGCCACTTTTAGACTCCCATCAAGCCAGGAAGTCTTTGTGGCTCCAGGCTATCCCACATAGGGCTGAATTAACCCCAACTCCTCTCCCCCGTACCAGAGCCGAGGGGGAACATTTCCAATAATCCCAGTAAACTATCTATGATTCGCCCTTTAGTACATTAAAGGAAGGGAGAGGTTTCCAAGTTCTGTGGGGGGTCCAAAGCATGGACTTTCCTTTGGAAACCTTAGGGCCCATAACTCCCACTTCCCAAAGTACCCCAAATAGTAGCACCTCAAAGTTGTACCCTCAAAACGACATGTCTAATGCCTTCCTTGTCCTTGGACATGAAAAGCAAGACTTTAGAGGGCATTCCCTTAATACCACAAATTGGATTGATTCTACCAAAAGTGCAACTATTGGCAGAGCAACTCTTTACCACAAAATGTGCTTGCCACCTAATTGGTTGCCAGTAAGCTTTTGAATGAGCGAAAATAGGTCATCCCCTATGATTTCCACAACAAGTGTAAACACACAACCAGCACATAGAGTGAGGAGAGTCAACGTATTTCTAACTCTCAGTCCCTCGCCCTTGTGATGAACTTGTCATGGCCATCCTGGCCAATGACGTTCAGTGCGTGCAAGTGCTTACAATGAAAATGCTGAAAGTTGCCTTGCATGTTACAAGGACCAACACCGTGTCAGGATTTTGAGATCCCACAGAGCTAGTACACATGCCATGTCCACCCTGTGTGTGTAAATGCATTTCAAGTTCCCACCTTAAATGTAACCTCACACATCACACAAAACCCCATTTTTTAATGTAAATTACTGGACTAGTTGTCTCTCCTCGTCAGATCAGACAACCTAGATGGTCTTTCTTAGACTAGGGAATAGTTGATCCGACGATCCCAAGCTACCCACACAACCTGTGCCCTTGAGGCCCAAGCCCTCCCAGAATTGTCATCGAATCTAATCAGTCTGGGGCGCTGAATGGTGACATGAATCTGGTGAGAACACAGGGTGGCATCTCACATCCAGCCCTTGTCTCCCTAGCCTTACACTGTCCTCATTCTCACTCCTAAGGTTTGCGGCTGTCCGCCCATAACCCATTTTCGGAGCGTTTTCTCCTTGTTTTCTTTTCCTTTTTATATCAGCAGTTGTGGCATATTCGGGCTATCCCATGCAGCATGCACAGCACATATGGCAGATACCCATCGTACACCAATTACATAAGTGAGCACCCAGTAAAACGGTGGTCATTATGTGGCGTCATGAACAGAATCACATTGGCACACATTCATAGCGATCAACAGCGAAGAAAAAGGCAGGGATGTGAATGCAGCAAACGCGAGAGCGCACTCCATTTCAAACGCCGCTCCGCAACACCACGCCAATTCCGTTCAAACGGAAGACCCGACGGCGCACAGCTGACTGCTTGCATCCTTGCCGCCCCCCTCCAAGATCGCATCCTTCACTGTCTACGATCCTACGGTGCGCACGGGCCCTGGACTCCCGACCAGCGGTCCGGGCGCCTCACGAGCCCCACCCCCGCCGTCCGATACCTCCAGCCTGCCGATCACGTGACCGCCGTACCGTACCTCTGCCCCCGTCAGCACTCTTCGCCACCCCGCCCCACCCTGCTCCATACACCCCACTCCGGTCTGGCCGCCACGTCGAGGGCTACCGCCACAGCGCCCACCCGCTCGCCCCCCGCCCGGCGCCACAGCTCCACGCCTCCCGCCTCTCCCAGGCTATCCACGGACCCAGGCATCAGGAGATCAGCTGCGAAGTCATTCCGTGGCGTTCCCAGTCCCCGGTTGAAGGAATTGTCAATCAAGGGGTCCCGGGCGCCGCATGGCGGCCGGCAGCGCCGCCCAGGGGCGCGACCCCGCGGGCGGGGCGGGCCGCATTCGCGGCTTTGCCGCCAACGGCGCCTCTTCCAGCGCGCTCTACGTGGGCGACCTCGACAGGGGCGTGGACGAGGGCCTGCTGTACCACCTGTTCTCGCGGGTGGGTGGGGCGCACTGGTCGGTTTGTTGCAGCGCATTGTGCCTCAAAGAGTCGCCAGACCTTGCGGAGCATTGTGCGCTAAAGAGGCGCAGTCTTCCCGGACTGGACGCCTACTGCTGAACGGCGTCCTTGCTCGACATCTAGCCTCGTCCTGCTGTGGGCCGGCGGCTTTCGCCCCCGCCGGTCGCGCCCTGCTGCCCGGTGTGCCGGGGAAGGGGAGGGGACTGACAGGCTGTGGGGATTGTGCAGGTGGGCCCCGTGGCGTCCATACGCGTGTGCCGCGACTCCGTCACGCGGCGCTCCCTGGGCTACGCCTATGTGAACTACAACACGGCGCTGGACCCACAGGCGGGTGAGTGGGGGGGGGAAGGGGGCCATGGGCGCCGAAATTGCGGCGAACTGTGCGGTGGGGCGATTCTGTTATTGCGACGGGAGGGCTGGGGGAGCGTCGGGCGGGCTGGGAGAGGACCGTCGCTGACTTTGCGGGGAATCGGGCTTTTGCTTGCATGCTGGGCGGAAGGGGAATGGGATTCGGTTTTGAAGGATTGTGAGGAGGGAAGGTTGGAAAACCGGGGCTGGATGGTGGGCATGCCGCGGACGCGACGAGAGGGGCGTTCTTTGCTGGGGGCGGGACCGCTGATGGGTGATCATCACCCCCATCATAGTGGGGAATTGAGGGATGGGTCCGCCGCCGAAACGAGGGTGGGACTCAGGAAAGGGGCGCGGCTTCAGGCAGACGCCCCTGGTGGAGGAGAAAGGTGGGGCGGGGTGGCTCACGGCAGTGAGAACCATGTGGGGCCCACGGGGTTGCCGGTGTTGTCTCGAAACATTTTAAGAGCCCAAGGAGAACGGACGGCGGGAAGCGCTGCTCAGCGCTGGGCTCTGTTGCTAGCATTCACGGCTTGGGGGCGCCAACGGCAATGTAATCTGGCAGGGCTGAGCAAGACAGGGGAGGCGAGTGATTGGATTTGGGGTTGTGTGACTATCATCATTTGGGTCCCTTGACATCCCACGGTTGCCGCAGGTCGGGTGGGGGGTGGGGAAGGTAGGGGTTTGGACAGGGGCGGTGGTTGGCGCGCCATTCTTGAGGCTGTTCCTGAGGCTGGGACAGGGAAGCATTTCAATTTGTCTATCGCCTCAAGCTGTTGGGAGCAGCTGCATGATTGGACCTGAGGAGAATTCGGTCTGGGGGCTGGCGGCCCATGCCTAGTTCTCGACGGGCACACATGGTGAGGGGCCGGCCTGGTGGCAGGGTGAAGCTTACTGATGTTTTGGGCAACCATTTGATGACGATTGGCCTCGGATTGTTGGCATGCATTGGGTTGGCTAAGTTAGGGATGATGTGTCGTGTGGTGCAGCCCAAAAAGCCCAAGAAAATTTGAATTACACCGCTGTCAAAGGCAGGCCTATCCGCATCATGAAAGCCCAAAGGGACCCTGCTGCAAGGCGGTCAGGAGTTGGAAACGTTTTTGTGAAGGTGTGGAGTGATGGCGCTACTTGTGTGGTATTGCGAATTCAAGGGCATCTTTGCATGTGTCCTTTGTGATGCACTGACTATATAGTTTGGTCCACGGCGTTTGGCTTGAGCAGATCTCATTGCATCGTCAGCTCCTGGCCCAGATGCAGCAGAATGGCATTTGCGCCCTTGTTTGTTAGGAATCCTGTTGTTGCAGTGCACCTGTAGCTCAAGGGGTGACCCCCACTGTGTGCAGCAGGTGTGTATCAATGTTCTTAATCGTTGTGGTGGCAGAACCTGAAAAGGACAAATCTTAGTGTGCTGGACAAGGCTGTGGGTGTCTGTGTTGCTGAAGGCTGCTCTCTTTTGCAAATCGCTTGAGAATGTGCTTAGTGCTTATGTAAACTGCTTTTTGATTGAAGTGGTCATACTCGTTTTGATGAGCGTTGGTTCTGTTCATATCAGTCAAGAACAGGATGCACGTTTTTGAAGAATGGCAGCATGTGCTGTGGACTTCATTGGTATCAATGGGGTCGATGCCAGTCTGTGCAGGAGTTGACGTCTGGCCTGGAGCGTTTTTGTCATCAGCGTTGTTGGTGATGAAATTAAAAAGTTATTCAGCCATTGCTAAAGATGGATTCCTCTCAGATGGAAAGAAATTGTCCATTTCAAGGACTGCTTGTGTGTTTCATTGTTTGTGTGTCATCACCTCTGACTGCTGACTGCTTGTCAAAAGGGCCTGGATGATGAAATCGACTCTCGAACGCTGCATGATACCTTTGAAGTTTTTGGCCCCATCACATCGGCGAAAGTGGCCAGGAACGAAATGGGCCACCCCCTTGGCTATGGCTACGTTCAATATGACTCTCCAGAGGCAGCGATAGCGGCTGTGCAGCGGGCCAATGGGATGCTTTTGAAGGGCCGCCCACTCCATGTGGCACACTACAAAGACAGATCCACTCGGGGCGTTGGAAGGGGATTCACAAATCTCTACGTGAAGTCGTATCCTGACGATGTTAAAGATGATGCTGCACTGCGGGCATTGTTTGAGCCGTATGGCCCAGTTACAAGTGTGCACCTGGCAAAGGTGGGTTGCGACTTGGCTTGTTGCCTACTACTACATGGTGTGCAATTTGTATTACCCTTCTGATAGAAAATAAGTGTTTTTGCGTGCTGCAGTAGCAATTTATTGAATGTCTGCCCTCATGTGTACAAGTGTCAGAAGTCACACATTCAACAATCAATGTCCAGTCGCAGGACCACAAGTGCTCCAACGAATGCCATTAATTATGTACTTCCTCTGTCCAGAATAATTGCCCTGTATTTGAGAAACAAATTTCATTGCAAGAACAACCTCAAAATCAAAGAAGGATATCAAAATCGGAAATGTTGGATCGTAAAAGCCTTAATTGCCAATTTTCAAGAAAAATTGTGATACGGAACCCCTTTGAACATTGGTTGAAAGTTACTTTTTGGTCAGTTTCGATGGAAAAGATCGAGGTTTATCAGGTAAAAGACCCTTTGTACAAGCACTGCCAATTCCTCAATACTTTATGGATGGGATTTATTTTCTGACCATATACTGCAAACTTACAGGCACAGCTTTGGAAGACGTTTCATTGAGAATCGAAGATTCCATAATAGAGAAGTATGACCCCAAAGTCATAGAGGACAATTAGTTCTGGACTGAGGAAGTAAATTGCAGCATACTGCATGTTGTATGGTGTTCTTAGGGCTGCGACTATGGTGGCACCAGCCCATCAGTCATTTGCTCTGTAGTTTTTGTTTATGTTCCACCCTATTGCTGATTTGCATTTCTTGTGCTTAGGATGATGCTGGCAACCTGAAAGGGTTTGGATTTGTGAACTTTGAGAGCCCTGAATATGCCGTCAAGGCCATGGAGGCTTTGAATGGCAAGGAGATCGGCAATGGGAGGATGTATGTTGGACCAGCACAGAAGAAAGTGGTGCGCCAGAAACTCCTTCGCGAGAAGTAAGGGTGTGGCAAGACCTGCAGGGCCTGTCAAGGCTAGTTTTAAGACGACCAGTGGTTGCTGTGAGGGACACCAGGAAAAGTGGCATAACAAATGCGGTCATGAAGTGGTCCCGTTGTGGTGTATGTTATTTTAATGGTGCGTGCAGCTTGCATATACCAAAATTTGTTTCAAATGGGCTGTTTGTTGTCACCACATGTGAGTTCAGGGCTCTTTGAATGTCTGCTGCACCAGTGGGCTGCAGCTTGCTTTGTGGAGTCTTCTTGCCATGATTGCTATTTACTGCTGTCAAGCACCATAATGTTGCTGTTGTACAGCAGTGTCACCAGGGATGAGCCAGGGTCCTGCTGTGTCTCAGTTGGTGTGCATTGCGTGTGCAGTGGAGTCTGCATGCAGAATCTCTGGCAGCACAGCATTTTCAGTTCATGTAATGTGTATTCACAGTTTCGGCATGTTGATATGCGTTTCAGCAGGATAGTATAGTTTGAAGCAGTGGGCTTATGCCTTTCCTGCCACGGGACGTGTGCTGTATTGAGCGCTTCGCCCAAACCACACTCAACCTTGACCCTCCAATAATTGCCCCCATCGTAAAATATAGCAAAAGGCTGTTAAAATTGGATTGATTGTTTGCTGGGAACAGGTATGAGCAGATGAAGCGGGACAGGCAGCAAAGCACTCAAGGCCGCAACCTGTATGTGAAGCACATCAACCCTGAACAAAACGATGATGGGCTTCGACAAATGTTTGAGAAGTTTGGCAGCATCACGTCTGCAAGGGTGAGTGGAATGCCCTGGGGCAGCTGGTGAACAGTGACTCCCATGCAAAAGATGCAGCTTGAACTCCTCTGTGCTTGTGCTTTGCCCATACCCGCAAGCGCTGTCTCAGGCTACTAAAACCATTTCCTCTAGTGCACTCAAGTTGGTCGGAACTATGGGGCGTGGCATTTATTCTGAGGTTGCCTTGTGGCCTTGGTTGTTGCACACATCCATGGACTATTCGTAGCACCTGGATCGTGGGGTTCTGGGGCTGCAAAGAATCGAGACACCAGACATACTTGTGCACAAAATATTCTGTTTGATTCAGACGAGTTGTGTGATGCATGACTGGATGTTGCTCCATACAGAACATAGGGAATGGAAATTCAGTTGAGTTGAAGGGCAAGGCTTATTTCAGAGAGTGTGGCATGCTTGTCAGCAGACTGCACGTTGAATGTCCAGAGAGCTCAGCAATCTGGATCAACCAGAACATGAGGCAGAAATCTTTATTTCCAACATGTGAATGAGTGCCCGTGTGACAGCTATGCCTGACAGCTGACTTACAAATCTGCTTTCTCCAAAATTGATATGCAGCCTGTGTCACCTGTATTTGGAGCATATGCAGTGATTTCCTTGATTATGCTGTGGAAAAGTGAACGATGGATTTGTCTCAAACAAAAGCATTACATACACTCATAGCGATCTGAACCAACAATGCTGTGGAATCGTATTCTGCCCTCATGAGCCCTGTTGCAGGAGACAAGCCACCTCGCCCCAGCATCCAACATTGCAGGTGTAGGGAATAGAGGCGAAACTCAATTCCCAAAGTGGAGGCTGCCTGTGGACCTGTGAACTGCCCCTGCTTGCTGCAGTTTATGTCACATTGTGTGCATTCTTGTCATTGAGACTTGTCCATCCACATTGATTGATGGCGATTCTTTTGCTAGGTGATGACGGACGATGCCGGTAAGAGCCGAGGCTTTGGCTTTGTGTGCTTCTCCACCATGGATGAGGCAACAAAGGCCCATGGCGACATGAATGGAAAGATGGTTGACGGCCAACAGCTCTATGTGGCCGTTGCCCAGCCCAAGGAAGTGCGTCAGGCAGAACTCACCCGCCAGCGGATGGCTGGCCTTGGGCTGGGCATGGCCAATGCTGCAAACCCTTATGCACAGATGGTGCCGCCAGGGATGGTACCTCCACAAGTGTGGCCGCCCAATGCTGCGGCACATCCGTATCATGGGAAGCATGGTGGACGTTATGCAGGCAGGGGAGGCGGGTACCGTGGTAGAGGGGGCAGGGGCCCAAGGGGCCGGGGCCCTGGCAGGGTGAGAGTGTGTATTGTTTGCCATCTGCTTTGCTTGTATTGTGTATTGTTATTGGGTGGTTTGTTGAGGTGTGTGTTTTTTGTGCCTGTCAAGTGGCCCTCTTGGTTTTGTGCAAGCATTTGCTTGCATGCATATGTGTGCCTTGTGTGCTCGAAAGGCTGACCTATTGGACACTGCTTGCGTGTTATTGAATAGCTAGTGGGTCCAGATGGACAGTAGGTCAGCAAATGAACATGAAATTGTTCTGGGTGGTCAGCAGAGATTCAGATGCACACAGATGTAGCCTGCTCTTTTATCTACTGTTTGATAGATTTGACCGACAATTTCAATGGAATGAGATATCAAAATTCTACATGTTACTGAGGCCTTCAGCACAAGCAGCCCCTGTGAATCGTGTTATTGCATGTTTATAGTGTGTTCATAGCTGTTGGGTAGGCCATATTCAGGTTGTGTATAGATATCTGTCTGGATGGCTAGCCAGCTGGGGACATGTCACTCTGAATGGTTTGGTTGTTGCTGCTGTCTACCTTTCTTTAACTTGGCTCTCCAGTGGTTGGCTGTTGGCTTGCGATTATGTTGCCCGTTTGGCGACCAGTTGTGTTGTTCCTCTACAGATGCATGGGCCAATGGACGTGGAGGTGCACCCAGCGGGCATCAAGCCGATCAGCATCGGTGACATGGATGGAATGCCTCCTCCTGCTGTGGGGCTGGCAACACAGGCACTCGCTGCAGCAAGCCCCCGCCAACAGAAGGTGATTCCCAGCCCTGAGCCCATCTACCTGACAGTCTTGCACAGCAAGGCATGGGAACTACTTTGCTGCAAATGGTGGTGCAGGCAAATGCTGATTGCTGGCTGTGCCATGGATAGCTGCGTTGCATGCCATGCTGCATCTACACCCTCTCTATATGCTGGAATGTAGAAAGGCAGAATAGCCCCTAGGCTGTGTCCTTGGGCGGTGCGGCAGTTGGTACAAAGGTCGAGTGCTGTGTTGTGTGTTGCATTACACTGTTATGTTGTTTTCAACCATATCAGGGTAGTTGCTGACAGTGACAAGGGCTTATTCTATTGTGGTGTTTGACCCATGAAAATTGTATGCGGAACCAGCATTGATCAGTATGGACAGAGCCTGGCTTGGGCTTGTCGGTGGTGCACGTTGTACTTCTTTCTTTACAGTTTTGAGAGGTGTTGACAACATGGGTTTCCCAGCACACCAGTGGAGTTGATGCACCACCATCATCAATGTGTCAGTGCACCTGCTGGCCATTTGTCGGTCTGCTGTTGACATCTAAAATGGAGGTGCTGAATTTGAAGTTGTTTCCAGGAACTGCACCCAATCATGGCGACCTTATTGAGCGCCTGATGTTCGGTGGTGTTGCTCCTGGTGTTGCATCATCTGCAGTTTGAAAGCAGGCAGCATGAGCGTCTTTCTGTGTGGCAGGTCATGCTGGGAGAGAGGCTGTATCCGTTGGTGGCGGAACTGCAGCCTGACCGTGCAGCGAAAATCACTGGCATGCTCCTTGAGATGGACAACGCTGAGATCCTGCTGCTGATTGAGAACCCTGCTGCATTGTTGGCCAAGGTCGATGAGGCTGTGACGGTAAGGGCATATTAATCACTCACGTTTGCCGTTAAGGGTGTTGTTTCTTTGATTGGACTTACGTTGACGTTTGTGAGTCGTGCTTAGGCTCTTGCTACACGACAAACAGCGATGTGTTCATTTGCAAGGCGGTGACCTGGACGAACAAGTTAACCTTCGCCTTGTAGCCTCTTGGGCGTCATGTGGCGTCAAGCACCAGTGTTTTTTTTCTTTGGGCTTCGGAGACTTGGGCCACCAATCCTAAGACCATGCAGTGGCAGCAGCAGAATCTCCATTGTTGTGTGTGCGATATTGCAACTGAACACTGGAATTGCAGATGTGTTGCATTGGCATCAATCACTGCTTCATAGGCTGTATTCTGTGATACCATCTACTGAAAGAAAGCATGATGGGAACATGCAGGGTAAGTGTGAAATGAAACTCCAATGCATCCTCCCACGGATCACCTCCCATGTGAAATGAAACTCCAATGCCAGGTGTCAATGGGCCTGTCGTGACTGCTACTACGAGTACTCGCTTCCCGTGATATCTATCGCAGGTTGAAGTATCCTCTGACAACACCGACGGCAAAAGCTGTCGCTGCAGTTGCGATCACATGTGGCCACATTGACATGACAAGAAGCTTGTGGTGTGGCGGGATGGGGTGCCACACCCTGGCTGTCCCAAGCCGCTGCCTGATTTGCTAAGGGCGATGACGATAGCGGTCACAGATCAGATGATAAGCATTGCGCACCACAGCCAAGCTTTCGAGAACATGGGCTGTTCGTTGGCGCATGGAACAGGCGCATGAGTTTGGCATCGTCTTCACATCTTGAGAGATTCGTTGCGGCATCCAGTGGGCGTGACAATGATGCTTTTGTGCTGGCCCTTTGTCAGGTGCTGGGAGAGCACGGCCTGCTGAAGGAGAAGGCAGCAGCAGCGGCAGCAGCAACAGCGGCAACTGAGGACGTTGCTGTCGGCGCTTGAAGCCTATCATGCATTGTACGTGTTCAACAGTCGAGATTTGAAGTCGGGACAACAGCGAGTTCAAGTTCCGGATTCTTTATGGCGGGCTGTACAGTTCAGCCAGGGGTGATTCTCGCTTTGTACTTGACGAGTTGTTGCTGTCGAGAAGATCTGGGAATTCATGGGAGGGACAATTGTCGATTTCTTATTCTCATTAGTTGCAGTCTCTCGTAGGTAGGCCAGCACTGGGGCTGATGAAGGTCCCTTGCTATTCACAACAGATTGTAGAGATCGATGGGTGCGAGTGTGGTAGGGACCACCATTCCACTAGGCAAGAGGCCCGTCGACCTCTGGTGAGAGGCCCTTCTGGCAGTTGACACCCTCGGGTTTGGGGCATGGCGCTTGCAGAGATCTCTGTGCTTGCCTCTGATGGAACGGAGGTGCTGAAGTGGGGTTTTGTGTGGGGATCGGCGTTGGTCGGTTTGAATCTAAAAAATTGCTGGAGAGCTTTGTTGACCTTTGGATCACATTACTGTGCACGTGGCGGTGCCCGACGACATCTACGCCGCCCCCTGACCCCGCCTCCCTCAGTTCATTCGATGATGTTTGCCACGACATGGCAATGTACTGCCCTTGCACCCACAGGCGATGACGGCATCGCTCCATCAACAAACTTGGCCGGCTATATTTGTCGATTCCCCATTGGCCAGAAATCCCAAGGAATACCCCAAAAACGGTGGCAAACAAAGCCAAGCACCCTCCTGTACCATTTTGGGTGTTGCGCGGCCGCCCCCAAAATAAAAACCATATCGATTTCAGCGCCCCCCCCCCCCCCCCCCCCTTCCCCCCCCCGCCCGTATCTGGCTTGCCTCGCAGTAGGCGATGGTCTTTGAAGGCAACATCGCGGGCGGGCCACTGATACCCTGCTTGGAACGAATACACAATTAATTGTGGCGGATATGTGCTCCACATTGGCCAGGGCTGACTGAACATCCCTAGATTCAGCATGCAAGTGAGGGTGTGATTGTTCGTAAAAGTAGACGAGTCACGTGGTTCCCACCATGGTTTTGGCGCCATTTGCACTGGTGATTATGCTGGGTTTTCAGCAGCTGACCAACAGCGAGCCATCGATTTGGTGTAGATTACACCACTTGTATATCTAACGTCAAAAGCCCAGATGTAGAGTATTGTAACCTTCGGAAAAGAGAGGGCACACTTGAGACGAAAGGGCGTGGAAGCACCGTTAAACAAGGCCATGAGGCGACGCCAACAGCTGTGTCTCGCCCCTCGCGCGTCAATTCAGCATTTCCAACAACAGCCCTTGCAAGCTGTCCACCGCAGGCTGGCTGCGGCCTCCATGCCGGCGTGATGCCGCCAGGACTCACTCATGCACTTGCGACCCTTTTGCCGCCCTTGTCGAGGGTTTGAGGTCTGAGCTTTGATCATTTCGACCCAGCCAGTACTTGCACAAGCTGTCTAAACCCCGCGTCCACAACAGGCACAACTTCTGGACCCATTCCACTATAGTACAACAACTGATCCAGAAGTTCTTCACCCGCCATAGGAACAACGTGCAGACGGCATTGGGAAATGTTTCCTTAGGAGGAATCGCACAACTGGTGGCTTTCCCCAAGTGGGGCAGTCGGGAAGGGCGGCTGCATCCACGCATCTGGGATGTAGCCACTCCTACCAGCACCCCTGGCCCCCTGCTCCGACCGCATGCATCCCGCTGTATAATTACAACCCGGAAAACAATTACAACAGATGCAGAGAATGGGGTTCCGTGGCGCGCTGTTGCGCACGCGGCTTTGAATGGGACGTGGCCCAAAACGTGCCAACTCGGTCGGCCGCTCTCATCCTCAGTGGCCGCCACTCGCTCACACCCGCAGGGCCTCTCTCGCCCACCCACATTTGCTCTCAAAAAACACGCCTCGGCGTCAACACTCCGCAGCCAATGTCCGCACGCATTCAGACACTGCGGCAACCGCAGCTGGCGTCATGGGAGATTCATGTGTACTCCAACCCGGAAAACACTTCATCCATCGCCTCTCCCCCCATGTCGCTGCCGCTGACTGCCTCGCTTTCTGGCCCTTGCTCGTGCAAGCGCAGCCCCACCAGCTCCCTGGTGCCCCGCTCGCTGTCCCCGTTTTGCGACGACTGGGCTGCGTCTGAGGGCAGGCTGAACAGATTCCTCTCCAGAACGCCCGCATTGAAGAGCTTTCCTCCCACGTAGGACTCCTTCATGCTGGACACGCCGCCTTGCGACTGCAGGTCCATCCACTCGGTGTACAGCAGAGGCACCAGCCGGTAGCCGCGGTCCTGGCGTTGCGACCAACACGCTCTCAGGACGACACGCTGCTGGGGTTGTGGACAAGGAAACGAAGGCAGTGATCGTTGCTGGTTTCCGTACCCACCAGCAACCTGCCCGGCACAAGCCTCCTACCTCTGCAGGCCTTCTCAATGCTTGATTATATTGTCGGAATGTGGGAAAGAGCTAGCCGCCTTGACGCATTTCAGACGACAACGGTCTGTCCTGCTGTCAATTGGCGAATTTTTAGACCCTGAGATGTGGTAAGTATTGTGTACCACACCCTTTTCCGTTCTCCGCATTGTGCTGGAGGCTTTAGATGTCGCTGCGTCCTTTCTGGCAATCTATTTCTTTCTCGACTGTGTGACGCCAAGGGGAACAATCATGGAGATCGTTGAGCAACTGACGTTGATTCCTTTACGACTCAAATTGCGATCCAGCCATAGCACAATTTGCAGCATAACATTGCTGAGCTTCTCACTAACTTTCCGTCGTCCTGTCTTCTACAAAACACTTCCATTCATAGGGCGCACCACAGATGATTTCCAAATTATAATGCAGCACGTACCCAAGTTTACTGCACAAGGAATTCCCAAACTCATTCAGGGAAGGTGAACAGGAACAAAATGCAAACTACTGGCAAACAATTCTTCGCCCGCCACGTGCCTCTCTATGACTGGCAGTTAAGTGCAAGCAATCCACGCAGAAAATTGGCCTGTAAATTGAGAGTTCTAGTGCTGCACAAGACGTTCAACTTCGAGCTCAAAAGCACTGCTTCGTTTGTATGGAACCGGCATTATGCTCACAAAACAAAACATGTGCCTACAGTTTCCAACGAATCGATGCTGAATGTGCTATCACGCAACTTGATGGCCCTAACACACACAAGCGGACAATTTCTGACATGTAGAAATGGGAATCAATGATCCACATGGCACCAGGTGACGCACTTCTTGCACTATGCCTGGCGTCGACCACAGGTGAGCAAGAACGTCAACAATGGTGTCGGATGGCTGCCACAGGGTTCAAAGAACTGATAAGAATTGTTGCAAGCAGCCGCTTATGCATGTGGGTGGTTTGCCACAGCGGAAGTGAATCCTTGAGAAGACACCATCAAACACTAATAATACACTACTACTATTGACATTCACAGCATGCCCGCCAGGGTTGCAGCTGCAATCACGCAGTACAACAACATGACTGGCATCTGGAGCCATGCCACAACAGAGCCGGTGCAACGTTTGTAACCCCGCCAATGCAGCTTCAAGCAATTGCTGAGCGTCAGATGCCAATTGTCCGGAGGTGCTACACCTGGTGACAACCACACCCGCCCGATCAATGTGTTGGCACGCAACAGCATCGATTGTGCACCTGTATCATCTTCTGTCGCAGGACGACCTTGCCAACTGGCTTATACAGGTTGGAGGAAAGGTGCTGGGGGCCATAGAGCTCGATAGCTACCCTGCAGACCACCAGGCAAATCAGCAAACAATACCAGCGCAGGCCAACACTTTCATACTCACGAATTGTGCATTAACATAGAAATGGGGGGCGCACATGCATGCACCAGCTTCTTTGCAGCCTACACAAAACATCGAACAATAGGTACAAGAGTACCGAATGGTCTTATTTTGACGATTGTAATACGCATCAAAACAAGCTCGCAGCCGGAGCACATTCTGTCAACCCAGGCACCAGCACGTTCACCATTGTGCACACCACTTGCAAGTAAAAGAGCAAGGCTCAGGGTTTAGGGGTTCGACAATGGATTCTCCACAGCAGTTCCTCCAGGCAGTGCACTTGTGCATAGGTAAGCCTGCATTGCTGCAGTAAGCAGACTGCTCCACTCACTGCCAGTTCTGCATGATGTCTGCCACTGACTGCACTTAGCCCAAATCTCTATGAGAAGCAAGCATGAACATCTCCGAGCGCCTGCTGATGTGACATTGCCCTTTACTGCCCGCTTGGCAGCCGTTTGGACGACGTTCTACCAAACATCTGACAGACGCAACAAAGTGGTTTCGTCCAGCACTCTCCATGTCATGTCTCCCTCCACCAGCCAGTTCCCTGGCTCCTCACCCTTTGAACTCTTCGCTCTCAGGGGACCCTTCTGGGAGGTGCGCAAAAATGTCTAGGCAAACACACAGGTCGTCTGAAACGTGCTTGTCCTCATATTTCACCCCCAACTGGTGCAGCGTGGATGTGACGTTCCTGTGAAAGGTGGACAGCTCACGCTCCGAGTTCCATTTCACGACGCCCCTCCAGCTCGCCATGGCCTCTGCCTTGTAGTGCTTGGGCAGGCACTCCAGGGGCGACACCTTGCCATCTGCTGCTGCCACCAGCAGGCACTGGGCAAGCTGACAGCAGAAGGAACTGAGGTGAGATGGTGTGGATAATGGAGAAGAGACATGCGATGTCCAACACTGGCCTACACAATGTGGTAGATGCACTCTGCACAGCAAGCTCCAAAGCACTCTGTTGTCTGCCACTGTTCTTTCCCGAGTTCCAGACCATGTGGAGCAAAAAAATACTCTGTTATTGTAGACCCAGCTGCATACCCCAAGAGAGAGCTCCATTTGTCCAATGTCCATCAAGAGCTGGGAAAGGGACCACCAAGATTCTCCCAAACACCTGTTAATGAATAAGCTTATGACAAGGCATCTCACATGGTATCTGCTCTTTCGTTTACTGTGGTGCATACACAGCCCCCACCGATCACCTGCTGTTTCTGTTCATCTTGCATAGTCTCCAGCACATCGACCTTGTTAACACGATCTGCCAGGCCTTGCACAAACTCTGAGCTGTGGTCCCCAAAAACACTCATGGCCCACAGGCACAGCATGAGGTGGCGCCCATCCACTGGCCCCTGAGTACTCATCCCTCCCTTCCATTGCACAGCATCCTTGTGCTTCTCCAGCAGCTGCAAGCCAGCCACCTCTACATATTGTGGAATAGGGTGCAGTAGCCGTGCACAGGACCACACAGTGTGGGTGAGTGACAGCCAATTGGGGAACGTCTCCCGCCCCGGGGATCCTATGACTGCAACAAGCTTGTCAAAGGTGGCACCGGGGTCGTAAGACACAGTGGCGAACGACCACAGCAGGGTGGATATTCCCTGGCCACATGCACAAGGTGCCATAAGAATCGGCAGGAATAAGGTCACAATGACATCGTGCTGTCCTGGTAAAGTTGTGCCAGGAATTTGCTTTGGGTGTCTTTTAGGGCATTGGGCAGTGCAGAGCGACATGCGATTGCAGACCAAAAAAATGAAGAACGGCACCCGGCCCAGGGAGCATCAGCAGGGTTCACAAGAAAGGCATCTGGAAAAGACACAGCGTCTTCAAAGAATCCACAGGAGCCCACGATGTACCAGAGAAACACTGCCTAATGGTCACCTTGACATCCAGTTCTGCCATTTTCTCTTCAGCAGCCACTGCAAGGGCCTCCATCACATCGTTATTGCATCGTCCTATCTTGCCAATAGCCCAAGCGAGTGAGACAATCTGGTGAGCCCTCAGTTTGTTCATTTCTTGGGAGAGGCGATCATAAGCCAACAGAAGAAATTGGTTGGCAGGTCGGCCAGATCTGGCAAAAGCCCAGACCGTTGTGAACAAGTCGACCGTTGTCATGTCGTCGATGCAATCTGCAGCTCGTCTGGCAGCATTGGCATAGAATTTCCTTCCTTTCCATCCAAGAGTGGACATACCCCAGAGGAGACCTGCAGCGTCAACCAAGCAACATCGGAACAGGCAGCTTCTGAATGGCTATGCTCCTTGTATCCTGTTCTTACACATAGTTGGCGACCGCTACACCCCTGTTTCTTGCCTGGACAAATTTCGCAAACTCTTTGTTGAGGAGGAGTCTCATTCGCTTTGTGTGGCCGTTTGCTTAAAGAAAAACAGCAGCAGTACGACTTCTGGTGTGCAGGCGCAGTTCTAGCCACAGTTGGTACAACAACAGGTGAGGCAATGACATCATCGATGTGTTGCACATTGTTTGAAGCAACAGCAGTTTCCATAGATAAGCATAGACTTGAACTTTGGTGGCACCCATGGGAGTTACTGTGTCACAGGGAGGCTTGTAGTCTTCACATCCGGCAGAATGAACGCCCCAACATCCCCAACATCACCAGTGGGCCACACGACTTTGGGATTCAAGACGACCCCCTGCACCAGTCTCACCCTTTCACGACCCCCAAGCATCACCTGAGAGCTGAAATGCAGAGAATTCCTGGAACCTGTCAATTGATGCCACCTTCACCGCCTGCAGCATGTCGTTGGACAGGAACTGACAAACCGCAAAGCCCCAAACCACCGACGAAAGTGCCCTGGGCTCCAGTCGATGTGCTATCCTTGCCACCCTGGTCGCCACCTCTTCCAGGAGAGGGGTGGGTTTGAAACCTGCACGCCCACAGGCCCACAGGAAGTTGCCCAGCTGGTAGTAGTCCAGTCTGTGGATGTCGTTCATGACTTGGTAACAGGCACGGGCAATGACTGATTTGCCCGGCTTGCAGCCCCTCCTGCAGCATGAGCATGTTCCAGAACATTAGCATTTAACAACAGAACACTTTGACATGGGCACATAGATATATGGACAAGGCAATGCAGGTTGTTACTTGTAGCAATGAGCTTGCACTGTCAACGAAAAGGCAATGCAGGTTGCCACTTGTAGCAATGAGCTTGCACTGTCAACGACAAGGCAATGCAGGTTGCCACTTGTAGAAATGAGCTTGCACTGTCAATGCAAGTTGGCACAAGGTGCAAAATGATCAGGCTGAGTTGCAGGTTTCAGGTTGGCACACCCAGACAAAGCGACAAAAGATCGACAACGTACAACGTTCAGCAAGGGCTTGCAGCACCGATTGGATGCCCCAGGCTGTTTGAACACCTTGTCATAGCCCACAACATGTTGCACAAGGCGTTGCCATCAAAATCTTCAATGTGCTCTTCCATGTAGCTAATTGTGGACGCCATCCACTGGTCGCCGAGCTCCACATCCCAGTGGACCAGTCCATAAAGCACAGTACTGATCTCATAAGGCTTGAACATGTCCATGGTCCTTCCAACGCCCTTCACAGCGGCCCTGATGAAGCTCGCAGACGGCCTGTGGTCTGCAGTGACCACCACAAAAGCACACCCCTTCTCTGTAGCAGAATCGACGTGTCCAACTTTTGGAGAGGCACTGAACAAGCAGCACTGATGGAATCGTGCACAACATCGCCGTCAAGGTCATACATCACATACCTAGCCTGCGGAACGCCCAGAAGATGTTGGCATAAGCTTGGGGCTGTGCAGCCCCAATAATGCTGGGCAGCTGATCATCAGCCCACCTGAGAACCCCTGCATGCTTAAGATCCAGTTTCCCAAACGACCACAGCAGAATTGATATGCCTGGGAACCCAAGGTCACTTGCTTGGCTGGTGCTTATGCGGTCCGCCACTCGACTGAGCACGTCTGGGTCGCAGCGTTGTGATCGGGCGCATGCATACAGGAAACGACACAGGTCGTGGAGGTGCAGAGACTGGAGGAGTGGCAAAACAATGGGATGAGTTGCAAGGCTCATGCATACCGGAAGCGACAAAGGTCATGGAGGTGCACAGACTGGAGGAGTGGCGAAACATTGGAGATGAGTTACAATGTTGCTAATTGCATTTGTGAAACATCAAATTGCCATTTGTCAAACGTTAGGGCTGTGGCCTTTCGCCTGTGAGATGATGCTGGATGAGCGGTCAGCAACATGGGTGGCATGCACACCTGGCGACCTGCATTGCATCCTATCTCATTGAATCTATCAAAAGGTCGCAAACCACTGCACTAGCTTGGTGATGCTAGGTGTTGCTCACTTGAAAGGTCAATCCTTGAGTTGTAAGCGAGTAGCGGGTTTTGAAAATAAGGAGAAATCTCACTCTCAACAGGAGGCATGTTGTTCAACTATCAACAAGGAATCTATTGGTAGGCACTGGTCATCACTCCACTGCAGCCATGTTTGATTACACAATCAGGCACAAACCACACACAACTATGATTGCTCTGGAAATATGCAGAAGTTGTAGAAAGGCTGCCAGGTGGTCAGAAACGCATGGCTGTGGTATCAGGCCTTGGCTCCAACTAGTTGCATTGCCCCCCACAGCATGTCACTCATGTGTCATATTCATAGTATGAGCCTCATACAACAGCCATGCATTCCAATAACCCATGATGAGTGTGCGATAGGGCAAAATTTGAGGCTACACAGCCCATGAACATCAGTGCCCAAGAAAACAATGGGTACAATGTGGCAGAGTGCACAAACATCAACCTCACCTCCACATTTGCTGATATCTGACGAGAAAGGGCATCGAACAGCTCTTCCTCGATTGGATGTCCCACCTTGCAGAAGCCCCACATCACCCATGACAGCTGCTCTGCTGACATAGATGTGTAGCTCACACTCACAGCAGTCGTAAGTGCAGCCAGCAGGCCTTCATCCTGGAGGTTCATCTTGCCTGTCCACCGCATCACCCTTGCCAGCTCCTCCAACTTCAGCTTGTCCACACTCCCGCTAATGTGCTGAACCACCATGTCCACCTTTTCATTGCCTTGCACATTCATCCACCCCATCCGTGAGTCCACCATTATGTCAGAATTATAAATCACCAATCAGAATTCCACACCAATTCTGGACCTGATGCAGCAGATGTGCTGGAATAACTGACACAACACCCTAAAGGGATGCATGTTCCAACAAGCACTTGCTTGCCCACAGACCATACCCCATTTGACTGTGTCTGATGAACAAGTGTGCTTCAAATCACCATCTGAAAGATGGCACAACAGCTTCCAGCACACAATTTGAACAGGCCTGATGTGCACATCAGCAGTTGCAAAGTCCCAAAGCTGCCAGTTTGTGGCGCACAAAGGCCTTCAAAGACCAAGCCAGAGCAGAAGACTAAGCCAGAGCAGATAGTGGCCAATGCAACAGTAAAGCAACTCTGCACCCTGACGAGTCCTCAGTGTCGCATTGAAATATTTTTCATTTCAACCAGGTCACAATTTTTACCTTGCCTTCTCTTCAGTACGCCATACAACTCAAGAATCTGCACCATCACAGAAGCGTCGGCAGTGCGGAGCTCGTGCTCCACTCTGTCATCAAACTGCTTTTGCAAGAGATTCTTCCTTGGCGCCGCCAGTGCACAGCACTTCGTCACTGTCATCGCCTGTTCGAAGTTGAGGCGATCATAGCGCCTGCAGGGTTGAGGCACCACTTGCTGGGATTCAAATACAACAGACAATGCATTGAAGTCTGCTACAATGTAACCCTCAAATTATCTCAACAGCTGTCCTTGAAGCAGTTGCATCGATTGAGTTCACCCAGCGAGGTTGTGGCACTGTCACCAGGACGGCAAAAAAAAGTGCAACACCAGGCATGCACCAGTCATGGCTTTGCAAAACAGAACACCACCATCAACAAGACCATCTTCTGCCCTGCACAGCATCATAGCCAGTGGGGCTGCCTGAGCAATGCTGCTGGAAACGACTCCCTGTGATCAAACATATGCCAGCAACAGCTCCAACTGAACATCAGCCTTCACTTATGTAGTATGTGTATGCTACAGACTGGGAGCCCCTTGGCCTGAGAGGGTGAATGCTGGTAAGCAAGCACTACCAATGTGCCACTGACATGTCTGACAGTGGCATAATACCATGCTTGTTGATCCTACATTTCTAGAGGCCTGCATCATCCGCCACAACCTGGCAAGGATCGTCATCTAAATTCTTCCAAAGGGGGGAGTGAACTTTGCGTGATACACTGCCATTCCTATACGGCAACCTTTGCCAGATAAGGAGACAGCAAGCACCACCCACCACTCAACTGCTCCAGCAATTCTTGACACGAGTTCATCGTCACGATGTCTGAGCTTGGAGACTGCATTTGACAGGTATGCGATGCTCATGGCATCCATGTCCTTGAGGGACTGCTCATCCAAGAAATAGCACAACTTATTCATCAGGGGTGCAACTCGGACGCCCAAGCGACCAAGAGAGCACACCAGTTTGGCAACTTCTGCTGGCATCGCCGTGTCCATTTTGGCGACTGCCAAGGCCAATTCCTGCAGCATGCACTCAGACAGTTTTCAGACACAGGCGAGAAATGGCAATGCATCATTGACCTCAACACACAAAATTTTGCCTCTGCAGTTTCAAATGCCACCCAGACATGCTACGTTGTGGGGCAACGGTCGCTCGCAACGATGGATCAGGCACTGCATGCTGTGGTATGGCAAAAGTTCAAGCACTGAGAAGACAGTCCATGATACAGAACCTATTGTCATGCTCGACACAATATGGTACAAACCGTACTTTTCGGTTATGCTGTTCAGTGCCTTGCGCACTCTCAGCAATCTTACAAATACACACATACACCGTCCTCACGTACATCACTAAGTCATACCTGGTTCACAAACCTCCTGAATACAAGGACCAAGCCGCTCTGGTGCACAAAGTGAAATTATCATACAGTACCCATACCTATGACAATCTTTTCCACGCCGTACAGATGATGTACTCAAAGTAGTTATCTCCAATGCACCAGGAACAAACACTTGCAACATCAAGCACAACATTCACCAAGCGAACATATCAAATGCCTATTCAAGCAGCTGTCTTGAGGTGCCGCAGTTCCCACCTTCAACACATCATGTCCAGATTTTAACGATGACAGAGACCAAGCGATGGCAGATATGGTCTTCATGGTGAGCCTGGGCGTTAGTTCAACAACCCTGTCTGCCAGTGCTTCCAGGGCAGCTCCATCTTTGTACTCGAGTGTTGCAAGTGCCCTCAGTGTTCCTGCCAGCCCCCTTGGTTGCAGGGAGCTCGCTCGAGGCAGAATCTGGAGAACACCAGGCATCACAATGAGCATCACATCCATTTACATTTAAAATATCCATTTAGACACATATTTACATCAACATACACATAGATACTACTTAAACAGTACTGCCCTAATTCAGGAATGAGAATCCAAGATGTGGACACACTTAGAAACATGGTTGCATGAGGCAGAGACATTGCGATCTTACGGAGTTTATTTTAAAAAAATACCAGAATAAGAAAAAATGAAGGCAAAATATCTCTGTCCCAAGCCAGAATATCACCAAATGTGTCTACCCGTGTTCAGCCTCCCTGCAATTTGATTATGAGCACCTGCAACAAGAGAGATCGCATATGGCGTTGTATGGGCATGTGCCCACAGACATTGATACGATCTGGCAAACATACAGTACTGTGTGTCAATCAACCACTGTGAGTCAATCCATTATAGGGGACAACAAAATTTGAAAATGTATCATCCAAGAGAGGTTCTTACTGTTTTCTTTGAACCACCAAAGACTTCCCCATCACTGCAGGTCAAATACCCCTCTGTGCATGATATTACATGGCCTATGGTACTGTTTAAGCAAAAGAATTTGGACCTGGATGCGTAGGATCCTGCTGCACAAGCGTCTTCAAAGCACCATTATCCATCCCTTGAACGTGGTTTTCATCCCATCAGCCAGGTGCCTTGGTCGAAGTCACACCCAATGTTCAATCCCATAGCAGGGCTTGAGTGTCTTTCCTTCTGTTGGAATCATCCGAATTCCAAGCTGGAGAATGGACATTTATTGGTAGCTTGTGACAACGATGGTGCCGTCATCCTAACACAAGTGCAAGGGCACTGTCTTCGCAATTTGCAGCATGAGATAAAAACAAAACAAACCCACCTTCTTTTGGGGTTCCAAAAATTGCACCACATTCAGGAGTTCAAGATGAACCCACCTTGTTCAGCAGCACATGCAGCACTCTGGGGTTGGCACCTCCAAGGCCACTATAGCCCTCAATCACCTGCTGGACGTCCCTGTCTGTTGTTTCTACTTGCACGACACTCACGATGGCAGGCTCGATCACCTAGGAGGTTCACAATAAGAATCTGGTGATTTGAAAGGAGAAAGCAACCTTGTCCTGCAAAGGGGCATTGATCTCCATCACTCTTCTATGAATCCTTTCATTTCTCTGCATAGACAGTGTAGAAGATACACAGCACAGAGGGACGAAATCCGAAAAAGAAATGCAATTGTTGGATACACGAGCACAGCGCCTTTATTTGAAGGATGCACCGAATGGAAGCATATGGTGCAGCCACCAGCAGCTTGAAATGCGCAGCTGAGTGTTGTTGCCACACCATGTTTGGCACAAGAACAAGTGTAAGCCATCAACATCGTCGATTGGCCAATTGCTGACACACTGTTGAGTTGGCACACTGTCAGTTCTTGTCCCTGCCAATAGTTACTGCCAATGGGCTGCCACCAGCCAGCAGAGCACCATGCACAGGATGTTTTCCCTACGAGCTGTTGGGATCCAGGTCAGCATGCTGCAACGCGCATCAACTCCAACAAGTTAGCACACACCTCCCAAAAATCCCTGGGAATTGGATACTGCAGCCTGAACATCCAAACCAGCAACCGCCCGATGCTGGTGGCGTCCAGCTCTGGCATCAGCTCCATGCATTTCTCGTACATGCAGTCCTGCAACCTCACCGGCGGTGGTGGCCTGAAATACACAAAGGGCACAAGGATAGTCTTGATGCCCCCCATGGCCAGCTGTGGCACACTTTGGAGGGCCCTATCCCAGAAGACAGCAACTGCAGCCTCAGGGGGCAGTGGCCGGATGAAGGCCAGTCGGCGAAGGACGGAGGCTACTGTAACAGGGTCATACTCGCCAATGTCACGGGCAACCTGTAGGAAAAGCAATGTGCCAGTGGGTGACACTGTGTTGCACTACTGTGTTGCACAACGTGGCCACAATGTGCTGCCCCTCACCAGTTAGCCACACTGAGATGCTCACTGCCAACAGTATTTTCATCTGCTTCTCAGTAAAGGGCATGTGATTTGCTGTTGAGCCTGGCTTGTTTCTTGCCAATAACTGGTGCTTGCCCATTTCTGGTGTTGCAAATCAATTTGGTGAGACATGACAGGGTTGTGACTCCTGCGATTACACTTGTTAAAAAGAAAAGACCAATCCATGCTTTTGTGCGTGGTCCATCGTTGGCCGACCACGTGCCAACATTGCTCCACCTACCCCACCCTATCCCCCCACCCACCTACCACCTAAACTCTGACATAATTCCCTTCCCAAGTAACATGAGCATAATTCCCACTGCAGCAATGAGCTGTACAGTTCTGCAGAGAATAATCAATAACCTTGTCCCAGAATCGAGCTGCTACTGCACAAGCATAGATTGGAACTTGCAACCCACAGGAAGCATGCCATGCCATCGATGTGGCAGCAGCAGCGCGCCAGTGACCTTGGGCTAGATTTTGGTAGCAGGGACATCTGACATGAGTTGAGTATGTGCAAACAAAGGAGAAAAAGAAACAGCAGTTGCAATGGCCGTACCTAGCACTTCAGACCAGAAGGTGCTGACGTATTTTCTTTGACTATGCCACAAAAATGGAGTCGACACTGCTGCAAGGTTGCAAGTTTTTACTGAAAGCTATCAGCCAATTAGGCACCACTACAGCCTGGAGTCATCATCTATGGTACACAAAATACAGTGCCAATGGCTTCAAATGCAAACCATGACAGCAAGCATTTCACAGCATTATTTGCTATGCTTCTGCTGGTGCTCAAATGTTGGTCAACTATAGCGACAAAACAACAAATATGTCCAGCCCTGATATGAACAATGAGCAGGAAGATGGAACCTTTTCATGGATTCTTCTGACGACGGACACAGGGGGTGTATCATGAATGGTTGCCAGAGATGCGCACAAGCTGGCGATGGTGCCCTTGCTTGCAGTTTGCAGCTGAGGACTGAGATCCACCAGCTGTGCAAATGCTGCCTTCACCATCCCAGGAGTCCTACCCTTCATGGAACTGATGATGGTCAGCATGCCCGTCAACGTCTGGGGAAAGGAGACACAACACAGGCAAATGCTCAATGTGGCTGCAGCCATGAAATCATGACAATGTAACACTGCTTCAGCCAAAGGTGGCAATGTCAGACACACACAGGGCTCCAGGAATGTTCCTTCCTATTCGCCTGGATCTTACAGGTGCTGCCACCTACAGATTGGCAGAGAATGCAGGCCCACAATTTCAACAGCGGCCATGCACTGCAATGAAGCAAAGGCAAACACGCCAATCCCCCACTGTGGTGACAAACATTGAGCAGTGCATCTGTACAGGTACATCTGAGCTGCAGATGCATGTTTCTGTGGTCACGGTGCTACAGACTCTGTAGACCTTGTTGTCAACACATCACATGGGGAATCTCCACTAATTGATGCTCATCTGCCCCCAAGAAACAAAATCAAGAATACACAAGTTGGCCACATCATCACCATCACTACATAGTAGTGCAAAGCATGTAGACAACCAAGCAGACTTCCATTCCTGTCCACCTAAAAGTGATCTGTCTATCTGCAACCAAAGTTCTGTGCCATCTACAGACTCAGCCATATGTTCCTAGTTGGCCAATATATCATTGAAATCCAAGCAAACAAACAGCCAACAGGCACATCCACACATATGCATATACATTAATGGGAACCGTACTTTATCTCTATCTTTCCTTTCGATTGTAAGCGGGCGATACAGAGCCTGTGCATGGGATTCGATTCCAGATTGCGTGTGGACTTGCCAACACTCCAGGATTGAGAAATGTACATATCTAGAGTCTTCCATGGTGATCTGATCACCAACAACATAGGGTGCATGCACTCACAGTGCAATAGGACGAAGCACATCTGACACAGAGATAAGGGAAAGGTTGCGTTAAAGGGGCGTAATTCCTTGTTTTGTGAGGAAGAAAACCAACAACACACAAACAGGTTCCTGCAGATGAACTTGTTGCCACTTGCAGTTCACCGTGCAGGGAATTTCCCTTCTGGTTCTCTGAGGAATTAATGGTCTCATTTCAGGCATTCATACAAACCCTGAGGTTATCGGCATATTTAAATGGCTGGTGGCACTTTACAATGCTGTCACACAAAGCAATACAGAACAGCACACCTGCAGCTGTATTTCCTGTCTGTGGGCCACGAACGAAGTCTCAATGACTGCCATTCCGGGGTGGCTGGAGACCTTTTCCCATTCTGCTGCGCAAGTCTTTACCAAAGCCCGCAGCCGATTCATCGTCACTGTCAGCTCTGCGCTGGACAAGGTGCCGCCCTCGTGCTCCTGATGCCAGATGGCACACCAAATTCCTTTCATGTTGTTATGTGCTGTTAAAATTGAAAAAACAGCGCCGTTGCGCCTTGAGAGCGATTATTGCATGCACGGCCAAGCCTTTATTTGCGCACCATTCTTTCAAGTCTTCACCTCCCAGCTACTTGTGCTAAGTACACACAACTGCCAAACCATCCAGCACGCAGTGGTGATGTTATTGGTGGCACAGGGTCCACATCTGTTCTATTTGGAGGAGTTTGGCGCATGGGCTCTCAAACATGAAGTAGTATTTTCGAATCAAACCAGACAGGGTGCTATTACAGCGAAAAGCCACACACCACACAATGATCATCCTCCAATTGAGTAAGACATTCGAGAAGCTACAAAAACATTGTGATGTGTGGTGCATTAATCTCTGAGTGCATCAGGAGACAAAGCCCTGGGCTACATTTGGTACACCCAATCTGTACATTCATTTGTGATGCTCTTGCGTCTGTGCTGATAGTGGCTAATCCAGGATCACAGGACTGCAGCGGCAGATATAATGTCCTTATCCACAACATGTCCACCGAATCATCAGACTGCCTGACTTCCTCACCTTCGGTATCCATGAACACCCCCCAGCACCATTAAAAGGACGAAACAGTGGAGTATGTCATGTTTGGACAATTGGTTTCAGTCAGAACTCCATTTGCCTACCTCGTTGGGCAACACACTACACAAAGAATTCGCTCAAAACTCATTCTCAGAAGGCTGTTCCCACTGCATGATCAGCCCTCTACCTCTGACCACGATGGTCTTCACCTTCTTGGGCCATATGGAGATGATGTCCAGCACCCTAACGCAGTCATGCGCCTGCGACAAGCGTGTCGCGAGCTGGTGTGCCTCTCGCATTAGCTGCTCTGAATCTTGGTTTTGATCGCTGTCTTCCTCTGTTTCGCTCCGATCATCGCCAATCTCCCCCTCACTCTCTTCCTCCAGGCTATTGTTGGCAGAGCTGAACATGCAGTTCTCTTCTTCCTCAGACAGAGAGCCGGATTCCATTTCATCGTCATCGTCCTATGGGGACGCACACACATCCATGAAAACCAAGTGTTTGGGAGCTAAAGAAAGTGCTAGAGCAACATCGCTTGTGCACAACCACCAATCGTGTGGCCAGCGTGTTAAGTTCCATGCCTTGACAACATTGAGTTCCATGGAAGGGTGGGAACACCAACAAACACTTTCCTGCAAATGCAGTTATTGGGCAAATTTGGCAGTGGGGTGGCAGACGTTTCAACATCTATGCTGCAATGAAAGGAATGGGCACCCACAGTTGAATTTTCTGTCAGCTGTCGTGGACAATGGGCCAACTGGCAACAAAACGACCACACAATTTCCTTGGGCTTCTCAATGGTGTGTGCTGCAAGAGTTTCCACGGTGGCTCATTTTGGTTTGCCGCGGAGTGTTGATTGTGTCATGTCGCAAAAGCCAGTTTCGTTCAGGTGGGCAACCAAAGTCTGCCTTTTCGGCAGTTTGTGCAACCTCCTCAGAAGGCAGCATGGAACATGGCAAGTGGAGCTGTGCATAGTCTCCAGTGCTTGATCCCTCTCTGCGAATCCGTTTTACTCTCGGTTGGACAGTAACAACAGTGACAGGGCCAGATGCGTTCGTTCTTGGGCGACGGGGCATCCGCCTTGACCAAATCCCCCATTGCCTGGCCGTCCTGCAATCCCAAGGTCCGCAATACAACCGCGCGCTGTCTGCGTGCAGAGCACACACCACAATTGCCCTGCAGTCTGGCAGGCAATGTTGTCCACCAGACACAGCCAATCCGACCGTCGGCCTCCAAAATGCGAACTGCGCAGCGACCACGGCACTTAAAACTCCCAAAGGCAGCCAGAAAATGCAAATTGACCCACATGCCGCTCGAGCACATTTCTCCCTCCGAACGCCGCGCACTCGCGCCGCGACTCCGGATCCAATCTCGCCGTCCACCTCGCCGGCCGCCCGGATCCGTGGACGAGCGATCCTTCCCTCGGGGGGACGGCAGGCACCGCGACGCGCGGGCATGCGTCGCTGGCGCAGCGGGGTGCGGGGCTTCGCCGCGCCGCGGTGGAGACTGGGATCGCGGGCGGCTCCCTGCAGGCCCCAAGCGTGCTGCCCCCGAGCCTGGCCATCGAGGGGCTGTGCGCGTTTCGACCACAGGGGCGGCAAGAATGTGTAGGAGACCGAGGTCCTATCTGCCTGTGCGGTGTTTGCTAAGTCTGCCAGTACTTTGACCCGGCAGGCGACCGTTTTGACGCTTGATGCCAAGACTGCTATCACTGTACAGGAGCCAGGCAGCTAAGAAGGGGTATTTACGAACAAGATATGGGTCCAGGGTATTACGCACTACGCGAACAGCATACTTTGAAGTAGGTTACAAGTTTCAGCAGAGTGCTAACTGCAGTAAAAGGCCCAAGTCTTCCCCAGATACCTCCAAGTTGTGTCCCTGCACAGTGGCAAAGTACTGCTCATTTCACATATTTTCTACGTTCAAATTATGTAGGATGAGGCAAAATGGTGTGCGTGAAATTTAACTGCGTTAAAGTTGGACCAAATCGTGTTGTCTTTGCCTTATTATTGATGACATTTCCGCCGAGCCGGGTTCCTTGTCCCGCCCAGGTCCACACACACACTGGACCAATACATGACAAAGACAGTAGTGTTTTTCCCAAACAACCCGAGGTACCCACAACTTGTGTGCCCAGCCGCTTCGCTAGTAGTTAAGCCAGTCCCATTCAAGACTCATCCTTGAATCAGTCCCACACTCCTCATTCCCTCGTACTTAACTCCCACAGTTGCCCCATCACAACCGAACATCACCCTAATAGGGAGGGCCAGGAGGGAAGTGAAACAAGATAGAGTGGGGACCGAGGAGTGAGCCTAAATAGCCTCCCCGCTCGCGCCCGCCAAAGCCCGTCACTCCCAAGGGCGCCAAAATCCCCTGGCCCTCCTTGAACGCGACAAACTGGCCACTGACCAAAGGTACAAGGGGACAGAAACCCCCGGGGGCCGCCAAAACAACAGTACTTAAGCAGCACTGGTCCAACGGGCGCCAGCGCGCCCGCCCCTCATCGCCCTGGGCGGAAACCTATTAACATGATAGTTAATCCCATTTCCAATGGTGATATGGCGGATAATATGGTGGTGATAGTGGATACTATGGATATGGTGATACAACGGTTGTGTGGCTGATATAGATGGCAAGTATCTAGCGTGCGTGATGGAAATGAGTTTTTGCAGCTCGAAGGGAACTCATGGTGGGTCTGTATCTCATTATGCTTCGTCTTCTTCCCGGTGATGCAATTCACAGCAAAGGTTCCACAGCGCAACTGAATATGCACATTGTGTTCCTCGCTGCGTACATACGTGAGCAATGCCCAAATGTTGAGACGTGTTGTGTGGACAGATGCCGCAGGCCATTCAACCTTTCCAGGATTGTCGAGCCGCTGGCATGGCCGACAGACGGATGATGGTGCGCTGGGGCTTAGAACAAGATAAGGTTGTCTTTGGCTGTGTGACATCTGGCCAGAAAGCTCCCATGGGAGCATGCAAATTGTCTACTCTAGGGGGATGGTACATGGGGCCTTTTTTATTCAAGCATTGGGAGATCCTTTTAGGCCATTTGGAGATCAACGCCACCTGGCTACCTAACGTCAACAGAGACATTCGCCATCGGGTGTTATCACTTGACTGTGGGATGGTTGCCTCATTGGAAACATTGGCAATGTTCTAAACAAGAGACGATGAGAAATACTGGCATCCTTATCCTTCCTCGTCAATGCAAATGTGTGTGCAATTGCTTTGCATTAAGGAAGACACTATTTTGAATTTTGTACACTTAGCGCCAAATTAACGTCAAAGGGACGTTGGGGTAGGTTCCAACCATTGATGCTAAGATATTATGTAATGCGTTATAATCAAGATAATGTGGGAAGATGCACAAAAGCCCCGCTGATCAGCAGCGGGTAGCTTGTGAATTCTTGCAGGCCCTCCCTCAAACCTTCAACTTTCAAGGAAGTCTTTAGAACGGATCAATTTGAGGCTTTGGGGCTGCTCCCATCGCCCATCATATATTTTGACATCCCATTTATGAAGTCACTGCAATCGCCACAAATTTGGCTGTTTCTTCAATGAAATTAACTAAATTTTAAAATAGCTTTAAAGCTATATTGAATTTGCATGACATTGTGAGGTAATTTGGCTGAATCATCCTGGCATTGAAACAAAGATTGACTCTGAGGAGGGTGGGGTGGTGGGGTTTGTGGGTTGGGGGTTCTGAGCTTAACGTCACATTGACGCTAAGCACAACAAATACATGACAGTGTCTTCCCTTGATGCATGCACTACATGCACGACAGTTGGGCTTTGTATGTGAGCACAGCGTGGCCTGTGCATGTTCAAGCTTGACAGTGCTTGGCACTGCCTGATGGCCCATGCAATGTGGGCTGGCCCGCTATCCAAAATCGCTCTTCAACTGAGGCGGTCTGGTTCATCCATGGATAGACTAGCGGCTGTGTTTCGATAACATGCCATGTATTGCATCAAAAATCGCTGCTCGAAGGTTGCAGGGCATAACATTTCCACCTTGGTGGTGGGAGCTCAGACACCTTCTGCAGTCACAACCAGTGAGGTTAAATGCTGAAATTAGCCACAAAGACCAATGGCGCGTTGGGCACACCGTGGCTTGCAATTGCAACCAGTTTGAATTGTCGTCCGAGTAGGATGCTGTCTCCCGATGGAAGGCGCACCTGATATCGCGCTTCGGTTTGGGGTGAAACTACTCTAGCACTTGAGCACTTCGAACATTTTGGTCTGGACGTTGGAGGGGGACGCGCCTTTGCTGTCCATTTGGCGCGGGGATGCAGAGGGGTGCTCATAAGGTTGTCAATTACTGGCAGTGTGGGGCTGAGGGGCTTGGTGATTGGGAGCGATTGACCGCTCTTGTGGTTTCCGACTCGACCGCAGTACATCCGAATTCGCTCCGCTTCCCTGGCAGCAGGTAAGGGAGGGGCGACGGCAGTTCAGGCCAGCTAGGACTTGCAGAGTCTGGATGCCCGAGGGCGGTGTGCCAAAATGTGGTGAATTGTTGTGGAAGGCCCTCTCGGTGCCCAAGCACACATTTGGAAGGGGCCTGGGCATTGTATGTACTTCTGGAAATTGACCATTCACGGTTCCACATGCGTGGCTGCAGATGCCTCTGGGCGCCATGGATCCAAAGTCATGGCCAGCCAAGTCCGCAAGCCCAACATCGCCAGACAGGCGTGGGAGCATTTGCTGAAATGAAAATGCAGCTGTATTCAAGACAGCAGTCTGCAGGACGCCTGTCACATCTGGTCTCGCACCAGCATTGCGCGCACTGGTGAGTGTGCTGAGAGACTGGGTGATTTGCCCAAACCAGCCTTATCCATCAGGGCTAGTCTTGGAGCTGGAGATCCTCCACAGGACCTCCGCTAAAGCTCGCTGCGGATGCCAACTGGCTGCTATCAAGTTCCCAATGGCCCCGACCAAAAACACAGGGTTGTCCCAAAGAGGATAAGCAAGATACCGGGTACCCTTGATAGTGTCAATGGTCTGGAGGAGCATATTTTGTGGTGAGCATATCAGAAGTTACAGGCAGCAGCCAAGCAATCCTGGCCTGCGATTGCTGATGGCCCAATAAGCCTCAAACAGTTGGCAGGAGGAATCCACGCATGTGTCTGCAAATGCCCAACTAGAGCCAGGCCACAGGGACCACAGTCTGGAAGTCACACTCGCAACAAGTACCTTCCTATGCCCAGTGCCATCTGCCCAATCTGAAATTTTGTCGTTGGATTTAAATTTGTTCAGAAACCTTCAGCACTTGCCCTGCTGTGCATCTCTGGTATGGCTCGCTAGTAGCCTAAGGGCACATTGCAGACGTGCACACCCATGGCAACTGTAAATTAACACAGACAGTGTTTTTCAGACACAAAGGTACAGCAACGTTCTGTCTTCAATGAGCGTTTGGCAGGAACTTTACCATCCATCTGACAAGGCTGTCGACATTGACATTGACATTGATCACACATTTAGATGTTTTCTTCCTTGTACTTACTTTCCAGGCTTTCTGCAGATAGGCCACAGGCTTTCCAGAGGCAGCCATGGCCAACCTGCTGCCCAACACCATGCCAAACTAGGGGAGCCACTGGCCGCAGCTGCCAATGCAAAAGCGCAGAGGTACAGTGTGTTGTGGTGACTTAAAATGCACACACACACCAACAAGCAAATTGTACGAGTAAACATGATGCTGGCATGTCAGAGACTGTATTGATGGTTGCTTGTTCAGCTGGGATTAATGCATCAGCCACAATGCATGCCGCCCACAGGCACTCTAACTACAAGACGGCCATCCGATGCACTTCATGTTCTTCACTCAGCGATGATCCCACCGCAGTCAGATATCAGATGCTGACGGTCAGCAGCCGGCGTCAAATTCCCCTTCCCCCCTCCCCACCCACAAGAAAACCGGGCACAGGTATAAGACAAACAGCTAGCACAACCAAGATACAACACAACCAAAATGCACACCCCAGCACCCTCCCCCACCAGGACAGGCAGTACTACGCACCAATGCTATTAATCCCATCGGGGCAACCGCAGTGTCTCATCATCCATGCTGGGAATGCTATTCCTTTGACAACATTTGCCAAATGAACTACTCGTACCCTGACGCCCTATTGGCAAAGGGCGCCTTGAGGCAGCTTTGAAGGCCAAAAGATGCATCTGCAAAGCATCGCTCGAAACATTTCATACCAACCTTCACTTTTAGCAAAATGTCCACTGCAACGTTCTTTTGATAGAAATGGCGGATACTGCAGTGAAGGCTGATCTACAAGTTTTGGACAAAAGAAATGCTTTGATTTAACATATTGCCTTTGCTTCTGGTGATTGAGGAACACTTTATATGCTGTATAATTTGCAATGTGCCTGAGATTTCACAAGTTTGTGCATGCAAATGCTCCAAAGCACATAAAGTTGATCTACACCGGCAGTGAGGTCTGAGCACCTGAAACGCTCTCCGATTATCATCGGAGGCATGGACAGAAGGTGATGAAGACATCAATAGGTGAAATAGAAACAACAAGACTAAGGGCGGAAATGGCGTGCGCGCATGCTCCGCCATCGGACCAACGTCAGCAAGGCAACTTCAACTGAAGGCACTGTGCCGTCTCGATCCCGCGAGATCCACGCAATGGATGCGTTGGCAACTCCGGCAACTCCGTGCTTGCGCGTTGCCGCAACAAAGCTCCGTACGCGATTGATGGCGCGGCGAAGGGCCGAAGGTACGCATCGATGTGCCGCAGGTTCCGAAGGCCGCCTCGGCGATTCTCCGCCTCCAGGGACGGGATCAGGATGGAGCAACCATGGGGTGGCAATGGGGGGTTGTGTCTCTGCGGACCGGACCGGACGAATATCTGCAGTGGGCTTGCTTGTGGAGTACTGCACCGAGTACTGGAGGAGCACCAGCAAAATATCTGTGCCGCACCCATGAGTCCTGAGACCCATTGTTTTCCCGTGATTCGCTGATTGTAACAAATGTGCAGTATTCCTTTCTTAGATTTCTCTATTTCTGAAAACATGAAAATACACCCTTGGGGTGTTGCTACCAGATAGCCTGCTGCATCATGATCTTGTTGGATTCTTGTGAGTGCTCCAATGCTGCAAGATGCAGCCCGATGGTTGGATGCAGCAATCGATAATGTTGCATGTCTCCCTCGGGCTACTCGCGGTGAAGTCTGAAGTACTGAATCTCTCCTTCGGCACTGAACTGCAAGCTGCGAATTTAGGACGTGAGTATCCAACGGCATTAACACCACCCCACATTTGTGAAGAATCCATAAACACAATGGGGCGGAAAGCGCAAAGCACATTTCCCGGTCGTCACCTGCGTAGCAACGAAAGCCACGATACATCAGCGCTGCTTCAAATACTCCACTGGTTTTGTGTCCCGTCATTCATTATCTAGCATATGACAGACATATGGTGACTGATCAGCAGGGGTCCGGCGGCAGCTGTGGCCGCCATTAGAGGCATGTTTTCGGTCACAGAGCTGGGCCTGGACGTGCCCCTCGCACACTGGATGGTACGCTACATTGATCGATGCCGTGACATCATGTCGATGCATCCATGTAAGGAAGAAACAAACAAACAAACAAACAAGCATATGGTGACTGACGTGGTGAGGTAACATCTGATAATTGCCTGAAGTCTTTGGCTTGGACACCTGCCATGCCATTTGAAAGGAGCAAAATAACAAGCTGGGCATCGTAGTGGCAAAGAATAGCTATTTGTTTGCACCCCCGCATAATAGCCACCGTTCTCCCTGGGTGGGCCACTTAGGCATTATGGTGTGCGACTTGTATGTGCTTCAAGGATATGGTTTACATGTGAGGCGTTTTGAGGCTATGGAAAGAAAAGGAAAATGTGGCTTCGAATTCACAGAATCATTTGTCATATGATGGGACTTTGTGAGCTTATATTTGATTGTTGTGAGAGATGCCATCTGACTCAAAGGTAAATGTCGTGGTGTGGGTCGCGCTCACAGTTGAAACTGCTCTTCATTACCAATGTGTGAATGGGCACGAATGGCATATGTGTTATGGAGTGGGCTGCCCTGTGGCGATGAGTAGTGTCGTATGGTTGGTGATGGATGATGGTCCTTGTCACGTGCAACGGAGAGTTCTGTGGGTGCAAGAAAATGCGAACTGTTTGGTTGCGGGGTCCGTTGCCACCGTCGGCAACGCACTTTGCTGTGGGAAGGGCGAACAAATATGTAAGCCCGGGGCCTTTCGTGTGTGGCTATGGCCTTGCGTGTGGCCGTGTGCCAACGCTGTTGAAGCATCGGCTATCGTGGATTCGCGGTTCCCGTGTGCACTCAAAGGGGGCCGTTTGAATCGTATCAACGGCATTTCCTTCAAGATGTTTATATTGGCGGATTAAGATGCAGCAATCCTGTTGAGACTGCAGGCGGTTCGCCCCATCTTAGCAGTTTGTGTTCTTAGCGTGTGTGTGGGGGGTTTAGGGTGCGCCAAGTGCTGCTGAAACTGCGATGTTTTCAGCAAAAGAAATCGAACCAGTGTGACCAGGCGGGCATTTTCCCTCTATCTGGCGCTGCCAACGGGCCGAAATGGCCCCTACCGTGTTAGGATTTGGGCCATCTACGCCGCACATCAATCCCACGCCGGGCCCGACGCGCACCCCCTGACCCACAGACCCCCGCCGGGGTGTCGTGTTCGGCGCCGTCCCCCCCATCCCCAGCCTGCAGCCAGGAGTGCCGCGCGACGCCCGGGCCGTCCGCCTCCGCTTCCTTTCCCTGCAGGACGATCGGCCCCTCGCCTTCTCCCCATCTCCCCCTCCCCCTGAGCCCGCGGCTGCCTCTGCACCCGTCGCTGCCGGGGACATGCACGATTGAGCGCCGCGCTCGGCGATTCAGCGACCGGCGATCGGAACGCGGGGGCCGCATCATCGGCGGCGGTGCGGCACGGGCGGAACGCATCCTCGCGGGCCGCAGGGGCGGCGGCGATCTGCCCCTGAGCCGGAGGCCGTGGGGCGGGAGGCCGCATGGCCGCGACGGGAGAGAACGGCGCGGTGGGGGGTGGCAGGGCGGAGGGGGCGCCGGCACCCGGCGGGCTGGAAGGCCTGGAGCAGGGGATCGTGGTATCGGTGAAGGAGACCCACGCGTTTGTGAGGTGGGTTACAGAGGGCATGGCTACCGGTGGCGCGCCGAAGGGCGCTGCGCGGAAATGCACATACGTGGCGCCAAGGGGGTGTGGGCGGCACGGCCGCAGGAAAGGGACAAAGAATGGGTGGGGGGTGGCAGGGAGGAGTTTCGGTATTGCCGTTTGGTGTTGAGGCTGGAGCGGGATGGGAGGCCCCTGGCGGTGAGGGGATGCGGCCAATTGCTGGTCGCAATGGACGGCTAGGCGGCGGGGCTGGCATCCAGCGGGGGGAAGGATCCGGCGGGATGAATGTGCTGGTGGGGGGCGCCTGGGGTGGTCAGGCGCGCTGGCAATGATCGGGAAGGGCGCGGGCGGTGGGGGCTCCGGTGAGGGGCACCGCCCACCTGGTGGAGGTCCGAGAAGGACTGCGTCTGTTGTGGGAATTCTCGCACTCAGGTTGTGTTTGCACGGGAGAGCAGAGTCGCTGCGCCTCGAAGGCTATGACGGACATTTGCGCATCCCGAGCATTTGTCCGTGGCCAGCTGTTTGCGACTCCGCACTCACCGTCGTTCCCCATCGGGTGGGACATCCGTCACGAGGGAAACGGGAGCGCTTCGCGGCCAAATTCGTTTGCAGCGAGAAGCGACAGAGCCCCGACGCTGGCCTCGTTTCTTCGACAGCTAAAATCGGCGTCGAGGCTCGCTGGACCTCTCCCCCATTAATGGGGAGGTGGGGCCTTTTTCTTGCTGCGCAATTGGGTACTGTGCGAACGGGGTTCTGGTGAATTCGAAGGGCATTGCTTGGGCATTGGTGTGCCTGTCATCGCCTGCATGTGGCAGGGGCTTTTCTTTGTCAATCCAGTCCAAGGAATAAGCAGCAAGCCTGGTTGGGCCAGTGACTGCTGTTATGCACATCTGAAAGTCCAAGTCTCCACATTGGCCTTGGCAAGTGCCCCCCAAACGGTTGGATCCATGCCTGGGGCAGTTGATGCCTCTGTTGAGGTGGAGCATGCAGACGAAGCTTTTGAATACCCTCAACGCAGCCCCACCCACCCCACACCACCACCACCTGCTGATCACGTGGGCTGGGCATTGCGTCATTGGCAACATCCTCAATTTAGTTGTAGTGTGAACCGCCAGCAACAGATTTTAAGCAGGCGCAATTGTGGTTATCCCCAGGTGTCCAACATTCGTGGACCCTTTGCTGTTCAATGCGACCGACTTTGTGGTGAGTGAGCCCAGTCCGGAGGATGTCCCACACTTGCAATCCCACCTCTCTCCAGGGGACGAGGTCACCTTCAGGGTGGGTGCCAAGGTGGATGGCGAGTTGAGGGCATTGGAGGTATGGAGGTGTTGGGAATTCATGGGCTGTGTTACTTCTAGCATGGGGTGGATGACATTTGTGCACAGGACTGAGCAGTCCCTTGCAACAGAATTTTGCCGTAATGAGTATGCTTTACTTCCAATGATAGTCTGTTTGCCCCGCTCGGCCATTCTTTGGCGACTCCAAAGGAATTTGGTGTGCCCCTCCTGTAAAAAATGTCAGTGATTTTCCCATACTCTCATGCTCATCCCACCTCCAACATCCTGCAGCTGGCAGTTGTCATGGCTGGTGATATGCCCCCAGTAACTTGGATACTGGTGTGTAGATTTTGTAAAGCTGCTCAGTTGCTTGGATTGCGACCACAGCCAATGCGCCAACTGTTTCTTTAACACCCCACTATGCAGCATGCTCTTCACTGCCCAAGTGCATGCTGATTTGGGAACGGGAATATGGGAAACTGCTCAGTTGTTCACTTGGAAGACATTGTCTCTGGGATTGTCATTTCTGGGCCTTCCACACTGAAGCAACTATGTTGTAAGATTTGTGCATGGTTTGCAATGATGGAAACTGCTACAGCTGATGTAGCCTTTACCTTTGAGTCATAATGCAAATGGAATCTTCAGTTGTTGATGTCGCTTTTGGGATGATGGCTGCAGGTGAAGAAGTGTGGTGGGGCTCGGCAACGTCGACCCACTTCTGCACAAACACCCTTTGTTGGCCGTCATGGACAAGCAGATGACATGCAGAACGTCTACAGGGCGGTGAGTGATGGATAGAGTGTTGCATTCAGTGTTTGTGATACTGGAGTTCTGCTGTGGTGACACAATTCACTGCATGGTGTTAGTGACTTGGACTGTGTTCACCTCGCCTAAAGTGTTGGCCATTTGGGCTATTCTGCTGCATGGACATTGCAACAAGAAATTGTGGCCCACAATGAGTGGATCGGTCTTGCGAGTTTTGTTGCAAGACGGGTATGCTCCTTGACCTCACTTCAACCCACCACCGCCCTGAATTGAACGTTTGCACCTTGTGTAGCCCCTTGGTGCACATGCCGTCACTCTGATGGTGTAAGGACAGTGAGGCAAAGCTACAAAAGAAATTTCTCCCTGGCTCTGTTCTGCATCAGGCAAAGGTGCTTATTTGAGTGTAAAATTGACCATCAGACAATGCTGGCTGATCAAGCCCAGCGGAGGCCATCCTGACGAACCCCTGCCCTATCAATGAGTGCACCTACATTCCAAGGATGAGATATTGCGAGTCCTCGAAGTGTGGCCCAGGCGCAATGGCTAGAAAAGACCTGTTCACCCTGGCGATTTTGGGCTGTTTTGGAAAACCTGCTAAATTTGGCTCTCTTTTGACTGGGTTCGTGGGGTGTTGAAGCACTGTCAGTTTTTCATTACTTTGAATTGAGGTCTGATTTTTGGACAAGGTCCTCTCCAGTCACAACTACTAGTACCAAAAAATTCTCGTAGATATTATATGGCATTTGCAAAAGACGTAACAGCGTAAAGACATAGGGACATTTGCTGTGCAACAGAGGAGGTATTAATTTGTCAGAAGGCTCTGTTGCCTCAATGCATGTTGGATTCATGATTCCAGAGTAGTTAGTATGTTGCAAAGTGGTCAGCACTGCACATGCACCCCAACCAATATGACAGATATCAAATCATGCTGCACCATTGCCTCTTCTCTCCCCTTAATCTTGTAACGCTGACTGTGTGTGCCCCTCATGTCCAGCTGTCTGGCATTTCCGGGTTCTCTACTTCCCTCTCCAGTCACTTCTCTGGCCTCTCCGACCTGTTGGCACATGCGGACAGCATGGGCGACATGGATGGGCAGAGTTCCACCCGGGAGCAGGGCATCGTTGCGAGGCTCAAAGACACCAATGGCTTCATCAAGTGAGTGCTAAACACTCCCTCAGTGTCCTCATGCATTTGACAAAGACAAAAGATGAGCATTATGTCCTTGAAAATGCAAATGCAGTTCTTTGTCCCCCACATTGTGACTGCAGCCAGCAATTTGACATTAGGGGTGTTGATATGTTCCTGAGCATGTGTCTAGTCTTACTGAACAGAGGCAGACATTCCGCTGTCAGCCCGTCTTACAATAGATGGCAGAAAGTTAGAGTTATGCTCTTTTGTGGTCTTGCCAAGTCTTGTGTTCCCTAGTAAATTTTGTGCCGTCTTATCTGTGGCAGATCAGCTTGTACCCAGCATCGTATCACAGCGGGTTATACTACAAACCTGGACATCATATGTGCGAAGATATGTGGGCCTTGCAAGGCCAATTGTAACCTCTACAAATCGTAATTGGAAAAGACGAAAAGACAAAAAGCTCCTGTTAGAAAGCGCAGAGTGGTGGTGGTGGTGGGGGGGGGGGGATTACATGGTCAATGGGGACCAAAGGACAAGTGGATGCTGGCATTTGTAAGGATAACTCGATTTCTCTCACCAAGCAAATATTGTACCAAGCATTAGTCACATTGTGTCAGCCCATGATGTCCACAAAGGGCATTAATGGTAATTGAAGTGCCTGTCTCAGTTTCCTGCACATTCAACCAAATGGTAATGTCAAAATGTAGCTTGTCACATCAGAACTTCATGGTAGCATGGGTGCACATTCTGCTCTGGATTGCTCCCTTCTTATCAGTGACTGGGTTTGCAGCTGAGCAGAACTGGGAATGTGTCAGCGTCCATTTGAAACAAAGAGACTCATCGCATTCCCAAAGTCCTGCCTGTTATTGGATGGCTGAGCCATTTTATTGCATGTGCAGTCGTCCACGGCCACATCTGGGACGCATCTTTTTCCATTTCAAGTACCTTAGGCCCATAGAGGGTGGTGGGGCAATATCGAAGCTCGAAATTGGGACAGAGGTGTCATACGTTGTGTGTCGGGAAGGCGGACGCATGTTTGCGGCAGATGTCGAACTTCTGCCAAAGGGCACCATTGTCCAAGAAGTAGCACTTGAAGGTATGCTGGGCATCTTCTAGACCCTCTGACGTTGGCTCTCTTGTTGAGTTCTCTTCTTTGACATTGAAAATGAACACATGCGAGAATGGAAGATAGTTGTGTAAATTGAAGGTGGTACTGGACAGCAAGATTCAGATCAATGTTGTGCCTGCTGGTGAACACTGCTGCTGATGATGCTGATGCCTTTGAAGTTGAATTCTTTGGTGTCTCGACACATGGCATCTATGAATATGTAGTTCAACATGGAGTTTTGCAAGCCTTGGGCATGTTGTGCCATATCAATGAACCCCTTGACCAATGTGGCTGTGTGTTGGACATCGCTTCATGTGCCAGTGGGGATGATACTCGATTGTATGCTTTTGGCCCTTGCATTTGCTGATGGAGGTCATCCACAGACCTGCCAGAAGTTATGACTTTTCAATCTGAATTGTGCCCCAGTGTTTTGGACGGCATGGGCCACTGTGGAACTGCAAAAAAGAGTTGGTGACTTTAGCATTTTGTGGAAATTTGCTATTGTCTGGACATGCTCAGGTTTCCTCGATTTGCACCTTCAAGGGTTGACTGCTGAGTTTCCGTACTAGGGGTTGTTTCCATAATGTTGTGTTTCTGTGCTGCATGGGCTTCAAGAAGCTCTGGTGATTGCGAATCAGAACTGGAGAGCACTCATCATGGTAATTCTGCCTGTCTGGGCCTTGTCTGCAAGAAAGTTGTAATCCCCACTCCCTTTGCTTGTGCAGGTCATGTAAGAGGCCGTGTGATGAAGCCAGCCCTGAGTCAGCCATCGGATGTCCGAGAAGATGGTATTGTGGGCTATGTTGATGATGCAGGGCATGAACAGAGATGTTACTATGGAAGTCACCAGGTAGTGGGAGGCACGGAACGAAAGAGAGCTGGATCAGAAGTTCACTGTTCCCGCCTCCTCTCTCCCCTCATTTCTTTCCACATCGTCCAAGGTTGGGCAAAATTCATTGCATTGACCAGCCTGCGGAAAAGTGGCAACTGGACCTGCTTTCATTCCAGAGCCCTGTCGCAGATAGGTGCCATACATTGACAAGCTGGCTCACATTCACTGTGCCCAAAGGCGATCCAGCGCAATGTTGATTTTGGGCTGCAGGCTGCCAAGGATAGGGGTCTAACAGCTTTTCTTTCCCTTTCCTTCCGATTTCTTCCGTGCGCTGGCATTGTTGGATTTGCTGATGTGGGGATGGCTGGGTTCAGGTGGAGCAGGCTGATGTGGAACTAGACGAACGGGACGAGGTGGAATTCAGGGTGGTGTGCAACAACTACCGGAGGGAGGGCAGGGCCTTGGAGGTTCGACTCATCTCCAAAGCACCAGAGCGTCGTGAGCTTGGAAAGGTAATTCCATTTCAGTGTTTGTGCGAGCAAATCTGCTGTTCAGGTGGTGTCTTGCAGTTAGAATAGAGCACAGCGATAGTTGCATTAGCGACTGAGCATCCTACTTTGTTCAGTTTGATATCTGGCTTGGTTGCATTGTGAAAGTACAAAAGAGAAAGTGCCTCTTCACCTATTAGGGATGTCAAGTTCAGTCAGTTTTGAAGGAAAATGACAGAAACTGCAGCTCAGTGACTGCTGTATTTGCTCTGTCTTATTTCTACGGAGTGGTGATTGCTGTTGAAGTTTTGCTGTGTCTTGTGGTGCGTTTCAGAATACGAAAATGTCCCAATGCCAAAACTGTGCATCATGGCGAGTGCCTGAATACAAGTCTGACATCAATTCAGACACCCCACACAGGAGTTCATGTGCCTTTCCCCAACTATGGACTGTAGTAAAGGGTCCAGAGACAAGAGTTGGCTAGCATCTTCACTAAGCCAAGAGCATGCCATAGCAGTGGTGTCCCCCCCCCCTTCCCCCCCCTCTGGGGTGCAAGCTTGTTGAGAATGTCCTACACCAGATACATACAGTGGTCTCCGATTGTGCCTGCAACATGATGCTGCAATCAACATCAAACAAAGCAGGAATGTAGCTCACATGTCGATGCAGCTGTTTGCCAATCTGAGAGTTGTTCGATAGTCTGCCTCTCCCTCAGCCACCTTTCTTTCGCTTTACAGGTGGCTGTGATGAAAAACAACTTTGGGTTCATCAAGTGCTGTGAGCGTCACAACGATGTGCTCTTCCACTTCAGTGAGTTGGTGTCCAGTGACCAGTCATCAAGGGTGAATGTGGAGTCTGGTGACCTGGTGGTTGGGGATGATGTTGAGTTCGTGGTTAAGTGGGACCGAGAGAAGGGCAAGCAGCTGGCCTTGAAGTGAGTGCACTGTTGTTTTCGAGTATGTTTTGTTGTTGTGGAACACTTGGACACAGTCCTGCACAACGGTGTTGCACTTTGATGCCAATTGCAAAAGTGTGACAATGACAACCTGCATCTATTGGTCGATGCTGGGAGACCACCACAGTGTGCTACACCTACTTTGGCTATATATCTTGGATGACAGTACACCTGTTCTGTGGGTGGGATATCCAAGAGTGCACAGGGCCTTTCTTGAAACCTTGAAACACAGCTGAAATCGAACGATGTGACCAGCCGTGCTGCTCCAACGGAATGCCAAGGTCCATGTCCCCACCCCTGCCTGAAGATTTCGATTTGCCGGGCACTGCTGCTCTTTTGTTGTACAGTATTCAAGCATTTTACACATGATTGTGCCATGCCAAACGATTGACCCAGCCTTTTCCTGTAACGCTAACATCTTAACTGTGGTAACCAGGGTTAAAAAGGCAAAGCCTGGGTCGGCAGTGTTTGAAATTCTGTCTGACGAAGTGTACTATGGCCTGGTGGTTGAGCGCTTGGGCTTGTGGAAGCAGTACGGACCGGGAAGCAATGGGGTCGTGCTGTTTGAGAAGAATGGACTTTCAGAGAAGCTCACATTTGGAGCAAATGACCTTGAGGTTTGTGTATGCTCTTGGGTTTTGTATCAAGCAGAGAACATGCCATTTTGTGTTCCTTCTCCCCTGCCGTCTAACTCTCAAGTCCAGTAGAAACACGATCCTGTTTTGTGCTGCAGCAAAAAGTAGCCATCAGTAGCAGGCATGTGTCCTGAAGCTATGTGGTGCATTGGAGTGGAGGTGACAGAACTGTGTTATAGGTGTCTGTGGAAAGAGAGGGAGAAATTTAGAGGCATGTTGTAGTGTGAGCCCTGCAGAAGCATGCTGCACTGTGGGCCAGCAACAGGGAAGCATGGAAGAATTGTTGGTGAGAAAAATGGGACAAAATGCACTTGCATTTCCTTGTTGGCCCCACAGCGAAGCTTGGCAACCTTGATACATTGGCAGGGGTTGCTGTATGAAAATCGTTCCTTTCGACAAAACAGTGCTGATCAATACATTGTTTCAATCAACAATTGAGGCCTGCAGCCCTCTGTGCTTGCTCACTCGCTTTTTTCCCTTGTACAGGATCGACAATTGAACCCACAGGTTGGCGACAAGGTGTCGTTTCGCATTGCCACGAACCTGGCGCAGGCCAAGTCGGCTGAGAAGCTGGATGGTCCTGCTGCCAAGTACGGCGGCCGCAGGGCCACTGGAGTGGCACTTGTGAAGTACATGGGGAAAGTTGCGTCACTCTTCCAGAATGGGTCCTATGGCTTCATCGACTATGAACATGAGCGGGGCATGTCAAGGATATTCTTCCACTGCAGTGAGGTGGGCTACATCTTGCTTTTTTGTTGACATGTGTTCGATGTGTTCACAAGTTGGGTATCTGGCCACTTATGTTAATGTCGTTTGGCACTGGCTGATTGCAAGGTGGCCGATTCCTTGCTGTGCTATTGCCACTTGTTGACAATGGGGTCAATAGGGGCTGATGTACTGAGTAATCCACAACAATGACAAAATTGGTCTATTCTCATTATCCAGAAGGACTGCATGTTTCCCTTCTTTCCGTTGAGGCGAGGGTTTGGGGCAGGGGGCAGAGGAGTAGGAGAATCTCCTTCCCGACTGGAGGATGGGTCCCGAACATGGCTTCCATGTGTATCTGGAGGATTTGGAGTGGTGATGGTGCCTGGCTGTGAGCATACAGGCCAAGGTGACCAGCTATCACTGAGCCAGACTCATTGATATCTGCTCAGGCCACATCAACACTGGAGATGCTTTGTTGGAAGTCAGGTGCAGCAATATTGGATCAGGGGTTAGTGTACTGACCTCAGCACCAGCACACTTGGCCTTTGGCTTTCAAGGAGGTTACAGTGTTAATAGGATGCTTGCCAGGGGCAACCGCTAGATATGGCTCAACTCTATTGCAACTGGGCACCAATGGGTAGTACCCACGCTGCTTCATTACAGGTTGAGAGGGGGGTGTATCTGAGACCAGATGACGTTGTCAAGTTCGTGCGGGTCTACAATCCTCAGAAGCAGCAGCACCAAGCTAGACGTCTGCAGAGGATCCAGGAGGCACCAGTAACTCCCAAGGGGGCACCAGAGAGCAAGGGGTCCTTCAGCAAGCTCCAGCTCGTTTCATCAGCACTGACACTGGAAAAGCCACCACCCGCACTGTCATCTACAGACAAGTCGACCACTGCTCCGCAGTCTGCTCGGGTAAGGCGACAAGCCTCATGTGGGGTCGTCCTTGCGCCACCCATTCTGTAATGCTGTCAATGTGCATGTACAGAATAGTGGGGCCTGGTGCTTACAAAGGTTCATCTGGTAGGCATATGTGCAACTGGGACACTGTGGTCTGTAGAAGCGCAGCATGCCTCTGCCACAGTTTTCTGGGGACCACGATTTTCCAGGGCATTGTACATTTGGATGTTGTTTGGTGCAATGCAAGAGCACCAGATGTCCTGAAAAGCTTTCCAGGCTCTTGGGAATGGTATGCAGACAATACTGATGAAGTCGTATTATTTGCGGTGCTGCATTCGACTGCCAGGCCTTACTGAAATTAGCCATCACAAGCATTGCCTCCACTGATGGGTGTGCCGATCGAGTCAGTTGCCTTTGTGTTCGGTGTTTCAATGAGTAGCTGAATAATTGGACTTCTGTGCATCAGCAAATTCTTGTACAAAGGAATATGTGGCCAGGCAGCCGCTTGTTTGTTTGCAGCAGCACCCAACAAGCAAGTGGTGCCCTGATATGCAGCATGCGTACCCCTTGTTTGTGCCTCTGCCATTGTCTTCTTTTTGGCCCTGGTCATGCTTTGCCTCCCAAAGCCACTCGTGCAGCGCTTTGCCACTTGCCTGCAAAGGAATCAGAATTTGTGCACGCACCAGAGTTGCCGGTCCAGTACCTGGTGAGCGGGCTTCCGTTCTAACCTTTGCTCTGGCCTTGTTGCAGGGGGGTGCTTTGGGCAAGACCGCAAGGGGCCCAGATGGCACCAAGGGCTTTCCGTCAGGGCGTGGAAGGAGCTTGGAACCACCCCCTGAGGAGCTGTCACCAAGATCATGTGAGCATGGAGGAGTATCTACACGCCAATGCCATTGAACTGGGCTTGTTATTTCTGTGCACATAACAACCTGATGACAGTGTGTATGTGCGATGTCTACCTCCCCTGCAAGGCCACGAATCACTGGATTGTGGGGAAGGAGGTGCGGATGGGCATGTCATTATGTGCTACACCACAGCTCACAAGCAGTGTGCTTGTGCCCCTGGAGAAATGTGTTTTTGCCACCTCCAACGCCACGAATGCTGTCCAGAAACCTCATACACTCTTGAATCCATCCCCATAGCACTCGCCACTGAATGTGCAGTGATGGCTGTCATTTGGATTGGTGGTCCGCCAAGCCTTGTTGATAGTGCAGGGATTTGCATCAAGTGCTGCATCCTTCACATCGCTCCCCTTGACAGAGTCTCAAACAAGTTAGGGGTGCATACTGTGTGGCAGGTGTCTCTCTGTAGCTATCACTGTGGCTCTTAAAATGAGAGCAGGCACTGCATGGCATGCATCGACTGACACACCCCTCCACTGCCCATGATAGCCTGTGTTGAATTGCCTCTGCAGCGAAGAAGCTTGACCCCGGGGCAACCCCCTTCATCCCAAGGGCCATGAGTGGGACAGACTCCATGCCATTGCCAGATGCTGACCTGCAGTCCCGACCCTCTGCGTGACAGAGCCAAGGGCGGTTCAGTAATTATCTACTGAACCTGTTCCCCCGGCGCGGCCCTGAATTTCGGGGAGTCTGCTGGCTTTTGGGGGTGTGGCACAGGAGGGACAGTGCCCACCTGTCCCGTCAGTGGGGGGAGGAAGAGGGAGACTTGTGAGATTGGAGCATGCAGTCATGAAGGCAGTCCCCCCTCGCTTAACGTTCAGAGTGCGCACAGAGTGGCTGCGAGCCCAGAGCTGTACCTGGGGCCCTGAGCACGACTGGCGGTGCACAATACATGGCTGTGCGCCATGCATGCAAAAACCGACTGCTATTCCGCCAGCAGCGGCTATGCGTTCCTGTGTGTCTGAGTGCAGTAAAAGGAAATCACACCGCCGCAGAGTGCTCTCGGCGGGCACCACGGCAGTCTGATACTGGGAACTGGACTTGTGTTTTTTTCGGCAGTCAAGGTTCTTCTTGACCAGAGTCTCCAGACAGGGTGTAGAAGTTGCACCACTGGTGGCTGGCCATGGTGCTGCCGCACTTCCCGTGGAGATAGGGAACGAATCTGCAAGGCCAGTAGGGCACAGGTCAGTGATTGCAGTTTTATTTGTTCGCACCTGAAAGGCAGTGTGCTCAGCCGCCCAATGGCTGCGCCTGGCTTGGACGGTGCTGATTGAAGATTGTCATGAGAATGAGCTGTGGACGTGTAATATGCAAGGGCTCATGACATGGCAGCCTTATTTTTCATCACCCATTGGGCGACAACTGGTTGTTTGGAGTGTGCATAGGCAGGTGTCGTGTACGGGCGGGGGGAGGGGGACATGGAGCTGGCAACGCCTTTGTGTGAACTGGGGGCCTTTAAGAGACCTATACAAAGCGCAGCTGCTTGGGCTCAGGTAGTGCGAGGCGGGCCTGAAGGATGGGCAGCCGCAGTTGGATGTCATCCAGCGCCCTCGGCAGAAATGCTATTTTCTGCACCAGAAAAGTTCTCTGTTTACTGGTGCAGATGATAGCAAGGTTTCTTGGCATTGTGTGGTTTTCCACTCCGTCGGGCGCGCTTAAATTCAATCAACTGCTTGTTGGCGAACCTGGTCCCATCTATCACCGTGTCTCCCGCGACTGGGGACGCTTCAGTTGCTTGCACGCTTGACGAATAGGGCTGCGAACCGTGTCCCACGCCCCCACAGCGCCGACCTCTTCTTGTGACGCATCCCTGAGTCTCGTAACGGTGCATTCCCCTCAGCCCCCCCAGCCAGTGTCGGACAAGTTTGAACTGTCGATGGAATTCGCATGTGGTGCGCAGCAGACCTGCCTGGAGAAGCTGAGTACATAAGGGTGTTAGGCAAGTGTTGCAGACACCCAGGCACGCAAGTAAAAAGTGCCAAACGTCATGGCTTGCCGGACCTTGCTGTGTGCGCAACCTAAGAATCCCTGTTCGGCACTTGTTGCAGCTGTTGCACTCATCACGGCAACAGTTCACTTGTGCGCTGCCACTCGTGGCAGCCCCAGAGATAGCACGAACTCGATTCCCACACTGGGAGGTGTCCAAGGACGTTCCTGGAACTGCCGGGTGGACGAATTCGGGGACTGATATGCAGGAGAGCCAAACATCATTGGACATTTCTCAGAGCGAACTAGTGACAGTTGTTTCAATAAGTGCAAATGTTTTCTAGTGCTGGGAAAATTCTCAGCACTGCGAAAGTGTGCGACTGTCTGGATGCACTGACGTGCCGTTCGCTTTGGGTGGACACCCTTTTCTTGGGTGCGTTGTTGTGGACTCCACAGGTCCTGTGGAGACTCTGGAATCTGGCGGATAGAAGTTTGTGCCGTCTGCAAGTCCGTTGTGTCTTCCACTGCGTGGAATAGTGATGGGAAACCCCGTTTGATGAATTAAAACGTATATAAATGTATTGAATTGAGTTTGTTTTTCAGCGCACTGTTCTTGGCCATGTTACGGGTGGGCACTGTACCTTGTACGTTTCTACGCTGTCTGATCTAAAGTATCTCATCGAAGAATGATGTCAATTCACACAATTGATAAAATGAGGTCCTTGTTATGAAGACACTATGTCGAATTTTACGCTGATAGGGAGGGGGGGCTACCTGTGGCGCTAAGAGATGATGTGATGGATACAAAATGGACATAATGTAGTAAGACACCCAAAAACGCTACTGACCAGCGCCAAAGACCTCACGACTTGTTCCAAAACCTCCATCAAGCATTCACTCTTGAATGAAGGCCTCAAAATACCTCATTAGGCAGCCATCCAAGCGGGCCCAAACACCCGCAATGGTCAATATCGAGCCCAGTATAATCTTTCCAAATTTGGCTGTTGATATACCTTAAAACACCTTGATATTGCCTAACGCCGTTATGTAATGTTGCTGAGTCATCCTGGCGTCGAGGTCCTTGTGCACATGACATAGAGCACCGTTTCCAACCGCGCTGGATCCCAGGTTCGCGTTCGAACGTGTTATGCTGCCTTACAATGCAATTCGTCGTGATGGGAGTTTAACTGTGATAGAAAACTGACAAAGCTATTCTTTGTTGGACAACACGTAATGGAGCGAAGCGTAGCACACCAAATTGATCACAGAAACGTGTAAACACAGGAATATGTTGTTACATATTCAGCTCATTCATCCACACATATTGCAGGTCCACCCATGTACTGTAAATAGCGCACTGTCAACAAACTTCGCTACCGCGCTCATCAATTATGAACTTGTGTCATCTTAACCCATTTCCTACAGTAGTGAAGACATGTGTTTTGCGAATGGCGTTACCCACATGTGCCCTTTCTGAATGGCCTACATTCACAAAAACATTTTCCATGCGTACATCACCATAGCCAAAGTACGCGCTTATTTTAAGCAAGTGTATCCCAATAATGCACGCAATTCTTATACAATTCTCGCTCAGATAGGCTCCCTCCATGTAAACTTTGGTGCCAAGATCTGCCTGGATATGAATGATGCTGCTGACTGGCAGAGGCGCGTGGCAACTTCCGCACGGCAGGCCAATGTGTCGCATAAACATCTGCAACAAAATAGGAGTGGATGGGATTCATTTCGCCTCATCTTTTGTCCGGCGGCAGTGTCCGGGCCATTGATCGGGATGCGCAGGCAAGAGCAATTGGAACACAGCCATTTTTTGAAAATTCCCGACTATATGTGTCACCTAACATACACAGCTTATTTGACACAAACTAAAAGCCGCCATCCTTTAAATTGTGCTGTTTGTTTCCGATGAGCCGAAACTGCCGATGTCAATCTAGTGTGCTTCCCACGCCAGTCTGCAACTGATTTGTCGGTAGAAAGTCGGCAGGGCGCTAATCGCCCAAGTGATTTCTCAGCGATGAATGTCGTAAATTATAAAAGGATAATGTATCGTGGCCGTGCACCAAGGCGAGGGGACGAAACGCCAATTGAGGCTTGGGACGCATGCATAACGCTGCAATCAATAGCAGACAGGCTTTAAAGCAAATTTGTCAGATGATCATGACATTCTCGCAAAACGTCTATTGTGCTCAAAAGGTCTGCAAGGGCTGTAGCAATGCGACCGATAGGACTTACCAGATCATTGACAATCTCGGTACATGTTTTGAGTCACCGACATAATGCCATTGCTTGGGGACTCACTGTTCACTGAAATCTGGTGCTTGCTGCAATTAGTACCGCAGCAATCTACCGATGCTACAAACAGATAGATTTTGCGCAAAGAGAAGCTCATTAGCTTCTCACTGCCATTATTTACAGATATGCGGTGTTGGTGCGTTTGTTTGTATTCCGTGTTAAGTGTTCAACTTCTTCAACGTTTTTGATCACGCGGGCCCTGCCCAACGTAAACGGAACATCAATAGCTACAATCAGAGCCGAACGGCTGGTTTCTACCTCGACTGCTGTGCAATGGCCACGTGTGTGCGAACAGCTCAACATAGTCGCTTTCTTCTGTCACGCATTGCAAAAGATTTTTCTTCCATGTTTATTTCCATTGCGAAAGCAAATGGTACAATTGTCTTGGATTTCGCAATTGAGTATGAATGACACTAGGTTGGGCTATGCATTCAATACTCACGTATGCTGTTCTTTACTAAATTTGAACACACAGTGCTAACAAAGACTTAAATTGCTTGCGCACTAATACATTGGCTCGGTGCAAACAGGCTGTTCGAGATAAGGTGAATGTACAGCGGCTTCCCAACCACAGTTTTCACATCGTGGTGGATTGAGCAAAATGAAGTAAATAAAATGGAGCTGGCTGTGCGACTGAGCAAACATTTTGCTGGAATTGCCTTTCATCACCTTCCAATCAGGATTCGATTCCGTTGATTGAAAGAAATTAGGGCATCCATTTACTCGAAATTTTGGGCATTCAAATCCAATGCTACCTGCATGCCAAGTCGAGACTTCCAATGGAGCGGGTCCCCAAGTTGGTGAAAGGCATGTGAGGAACTTGCATCAAATGAGCGCAGAATATCTGTTTCTAATTGGTGCGGGCCAGGCACCACGGCAATGAGCCTTCCAGAGCTACCGAGCGTTTAGCTTTATGTAAAAGACGAGCTCGCTTCCGTGTCATCAAAGCATGGAGCCACCTTCGTGAGTAGTTGCCCGACAGCCGATAGTGGAATGTAAGGTAGGGCAGGAAGGAAATTTCCCATAAGATATAGAGGTGGAAGGGAGGAATTTTCTATCCGAAAGCAGCAAAAACTTCACATCATTTTTTACCTTCTGTTGTACCTAATTCACGCACCCCACATTCTGCCGTAATATGCCACCCTATATATTATACACAGAATTGCAAGCAGCAGCAACGCGCATTGTTGCCACCGCATAATGCGTGCTCTCAATTTTAGAGCATTGAGTGCAGTGTGGACATGGGCAGCGAAGTCCCCGATGGCATTCCAGGGACCGTGAAGGGATCGCCATGAAGCCCTTGCTTGGGCAAGCTGGACTTCAGCCGAAGCGATGGAAGCGGCCGCAAGGAGCACAGCACGGCCTCCGATCGGAGGCAAGGCAAGG